AGCTTCTAGGAAAAGTATTGATGTGCATATCCCATGATATCTATGTAACCATACATTATGATACCATCTACATTTTTTTGTTAGTCTGTAAGGTACTGCAGGACTATTCCCTGTTCTTTAATTTTTTTCAATTACTGACTAACACAGCTACCCCTCTGAAACTTTCACACACTAGGCACAATCTCAAATGACCACTAGGGGTCACTTTCTCCCCATAGAATTATCCCACAAGTTCCCTGTTAAAGTGGGGATGTATAAAAGTCATAAAAAAAAGCAAGTTCAGAATTTGGTTTCATCAGAGTTTTGTAATCACACATTTCATTACTGCACCAAGTAAATGTTAATTTCCCCTGAGCTTTGCCCACAAAGAAGGAGAAAACATCTCTAGATCACAGATCTCAGAGTTGGAAAGACTCCAGACATCTTGCCCTATGCTTGTATAACTCCACTGTCTGGCTTCTTTCTACAGTCCACTCCTGTGCAATCTAACACTGAGTGACTCAGAGGATAATGCTCTTTCCAGCTCAGTCCACAGCCAATGGGCTCTCATTGTTCAGAAATGTTTCCTGGTATTGTGCCTAAAGTTGGCTTTGCTCAGCCTCACTACATAATTCCCAGTCATAAGAGCTGGTTGTAAAACAAGTCTCCCCCCTTCCCCACAAAATAAATTCATTTTACAGTAAAAAAAATATTTTGGCCAACACCTGAAATACAGGTTGAACTTCTCTAGTCCGGCACCCTTGGGACCTGACTGGTTCCGAACGAGGGAATTTGCCAGACCATGGGAGGTCACTATTGTCCAGTAGCATTACCAACACTTGCACTGCTTACTGAGCTGATAGAAAACATTTAGGGGTAAATGAGAGCTAACTTACAGCACAGAGCACTGAAAGCCAGGACTGGTGTCTGCAAACAAACTTTGAGGGCCTGCAGGAAACTTGGCCACTCCCATGAAAAGTGAACATCTGACCTGGGAGATGATATTAACCTCAGCACTCTTCTGCTCAGCCCCCAATAGCGAAACGGCAGTGAGATGCTACGTAGGGGTTGTGGGGAGGATGCACATAGAGGTGACCTAGAACTCTCTTCGCCTCCATGCCCATGACCTGATGATCCAGCTGGAAGATCTCAGGGCTGGTTTTGAACTCAGCTGATTTGCCCCACCCATCACCCTTCTTTGATGGAAAAAGACTGACACCCAAAACTGAGCATGGAGTGTGACTGTGTGTGCAGGATGAAGGCTAAGGGTGCATGCTGAGATCAGTACAGGGGTCTTACTTGGCAGGGGAGTCCGAGCAGCAGCACGTGAAGCACCACAGGGATCTCTGAATGTCAGCCATTCATAGCCATCTCCAAAGTCTTAGGGCTAATCACTAGGCATGAAGTAGAGATGGAACACCTCTTTCCCCATCTGAACCAGAAAAAGGGAGTGAAGGGGATCCTGATCCTACAGCACAGAGACATCCCTACAATCGCCTGGAATGGCCAGACTTGCCTGTAGAAGAGAAGGTGCATTTCCTAGCTGATGCCAGTTGGCTCCCACGTATTTGAGAACTTGGATGATTTATAGAAGGAGTCTGGTGAGTGGAGGAGGTCTCCTCTCCTAAAGGCCCTCTCCAGGCAGGGTGTTTCATGCAAGTCTCTGTACAACAGATTAGAACAGCTCCTCGTTTCTGCTGTGGGCAGGGGGAATACTCCTGGTATGCTAATGTGACCAGTTATTGCTGCCAGCCCCATGGCTTCCATGGCTGAAGAAGTAGGAAGCACAATGTTTCAGGACTTTGGGTCAGGCATGGAAACCAGAGACTTTTATCATGCCGGCCTGCACTCAAAAGTAAGCACTGAGTCATCAAAATGAGCTGCTCCAATTTTTTACTTTGTAACCTTTTTATTAGATAAAAACAATAATAATACAGGCAGTGAAATGAAATGTCCAGGTGAAACAGAAGATCAGAACATGGTGGCTTTCTAAATAAAATGTTGCCAAAATCGCCATGTTTCTTTTTTGATGAACTGTCATTCAACCGATGGGAAAAAAGTTCCATTGGAAAAATGTTTAGTCTCTACCTTATGTAGCTCATTGAATCAATGCCCTGCCACTGCATGGACCCCAGGGATTGACAGATTTTGGTCCCACCTGCTCTTTGCCTCTGCCACAACAGCTTAGTCTCCAGAGGACTGTAATGCTTCAGTCTAATACTGGTTAATGACTTGCTTATCCCACTACTGGGACCAGTACGGACCACCGTACTACTCCTAGCACTGATCCCAGAACAGATCCAAGTACTGATCAAAGCACTGGTCCCAGCACTGAGCCATATAGGGACTTCCGCAAGAGTTCTGATTCACTCTCTGTTTTGCAGCTCATGACGTAGTGCAGCACCGGCTGTGTTATGTTCGTTACACTCATCCCCAGACTGGTCAGTAGTTCAGGAGCCACGCTTTCAGGCCCACCATTTACAAGGGCTGGTGAAAAAAAGGTGCAAAGCGAAGCCAGAAGCCTATGGAATGATGGGATGGAAAGAACTGTGATGGTTAGCATGCCCCCGTGAGGCACCACTATCTGTTCCCATAGGTCCCAACGGCAGAGAGTGGCAAGTTGCACAGTTGCATTTGTCGATGCAAGAGCAGTGACCATGGATGCATTCCATTGACACTAAGAGCGTTGTATGGATTTGCACAGCCAATGTAATTAAAGTGGCTTATGACTGTAGATGTCACTTAAGTCAACTTAAAAGGCTGCAGGCCAGGTCTACTCTACAGACCTATAATGACATCACTCAGGGGTGTGAAAAATCCACAGACTTCTGAGTGCTGTAGTTATCCCGACCAAACCCCCAGGTAGACAGACCTATGTTGACAGGAAAGCGTCTCCCATCTAGACAGCTGCCGCCTCTTGGGGAGGTGGATTAACTGCACCGACAAGAGAAGCTCTCCTGTTAGCTTAGGGCAGCGGTTCTCAAACTTTTTGGGCTTCGGAGCCCCTTGCATGCGTAAAAATTTATGCGGAGCCCCAGCTGTCCACTGATTGTATGTGCTGTACCTATTGATGTTTCCAGTTTGTCAACCTCGCGGAGCCCTGGGGCTCTGCGGAGCACAGTTTGAGAAACACTGGCTTAGGGGCATCTTCATGAAAGCACTATGAATCTGCGTCCGTCAGATTCCCAAGGAAAAAAGTGTATAAAAGAATTTGGGGCCCGACCCACGAAAATGAATGCAAGTTACAATAGTCGCTTTTGTGATGCACGATACTAATGCAAGCAGACGCCCTGCTCCTCCACATGTGCATGGTCAGAATTACATGTGGATATACATATGCCACACACTCACCACACATGCACAAATGTACCCAGAAACAACATCTGTGTACCACATGCACACGCCGACATGAATGCCACACGTATATGCGGACATACCACTGTGAACAAGTGCTTCAGACTGATTCAGGGTCCATCCTGAAGCTTTATTGAAGAAGCTGCCAGGGAAATGTTCAGGACCAAAACATGGGGAGTTGGATTGTGCTGGTGCGTCATCATATTATTTCATTCTGTACAGTGTGAACTACAGATGGTGTGGAGCCAGGGAGAGGCTGGCCGAAACGAGTTCCTTCTGAGATGTGCGATGAGCTGGGTTCTAGACCTGCACTCAGGAAGTGGAATGAGCTAAATCATGTGGGATGGGGATGGTTTTTACTTCTCAGAGAAGCTGCTGCTGGCACCGTCTCTCACAGGACTTCCTCCTGAGGCCCCTTCTTCAGTCTCCTCTTTGGGGTCATAAGCCTCATTGGTGTACGGTGGCGGAGGGGGCATTGGTGCGGAGGGAACCCCGAAGTTTGTATTGACAGCATATGGCATGTACAACATGGACTGAAAAACAAGAGGTGAGCTCTCAATGATAACATTATCTCTATTCCCACTCCTACAACCATCGCCTTCCTCACCCTTCTATCAGCATACCCTTCCACTACCACCATCATCTTCTTCATCACTAGAGTTCTTATAACTAGGGCAGGTGCATCCCTGAGGTAAGTCACCCTTTGTGATTGGTGGCATTGCACCAGGGATGAATCTATGCCATCCTCACTAACTGCATTATCATCCCCCATCTTGGTAGGATTTTCTCTGTGGAGGTGAATGGGTCCCAGCTGTGAGAGAAGATAACCTGATCTTTTGCTGAAGTGATTACCTTTTGGATACAGACACTATAATAAATTCTCTTAGGTCCTAACTCAGCAGGCTTGCTGAGAGGCACTTAAAGGGTTGATGTGATAGGTCTCACTATGTCAGAGAGCGTCTCTCTGTGCTCATGACTAGGCCTGCTTGAAAATGTCCTATTAAAAAAAAAGCTGCTTTTTGACAACACAAAAGAACAAGTTAAATACAAGTTAAAAGAACAGGTGGATTAACTGCACCGACAAGAGAAGCTCTCCTGTTAGCTTAGGGCAGCGGTTCTCAAACTTTTTGGGCTTCGGAGCCTCTTGCATGCGTAAAAATTTATGCGGAGCCCCAGCTGTCCACTGATTGTATGTGCTGTACCTATTGATGTTTCCAGTTTGTCAACCTCGCGGAGCCCTGGGGCTCTGCGGAGCACAGTTTGAGAAACACTGGCTTAGGGGCATCTTCATGAAAGCACTATGAATCTGCGTCCGTCAGATTCCCAAGGAAAAAAGTGTATAAAAGAATTTGGGGCCCGACCCACGAAAATGAATGCAAGTTACAATAGTCGCTTTTGTGATGCACGATACTAATGCAAGCAGACGCCCTGCTCCTCCACATGTGCATGGTCAGAATTACATGTGGATATACACATGCCACACACTCACCACACATGCACAAATGTACCCAGAAACAACATCTGTGTATCACATGCACACGCCGACATGAATGCCACACGTATATGCGGTCATACCACTGTGAACAAGTGCTTCAGACTGATTCAGGGTCCATCCTGAAGCTTTATTGAAGAAGCTGCCAGGGAAATGTTCAGGACCAAAACATGGGGAGTTGGATTGTGCTGGTGCGTCATCATATTATTTCATTCTGTACAGTGTGAACTACAGATGGTGTGGAGCCAGGGAGAGGCTGGCCGAAACGAGTTCCTTCTGAGATGTGCGATGAGCTGGGTTCTAGACCTGCACTCAGGAAGTGGAATGAGCTAAATCATGTGGGATGGGGATGGTTTTTACTTCTCAGAGAAGCTGCTGCTGGCACCGTCTCTCACAGGACTTCCTCCTGAGGCCCCTTCTTCAGTCTCCTCTTTGGGGTCATAAGCCTCATTGGTGTACGGTGGCGGAGGGGGCATTGGTGCGGAGGGAACCCCGAAGTTTGTATTGACAGCATATGGCATGTACAACATGGACTGAAAAACAAGAGGTGAGCTCTCAATGATAACATTATCTCTATTCCCACTCCTACAACCATCGCCTTCCTCACCCTTCTATCAGCATACCCTTCCACTACCACCATCATCTTCTTCATCACTAGAGTTCTTATAACTAGGGCAGGTGCATCCCTGAGGTAAGTCACCCTTTGTGATTGGTGGCATTGCACCAGGGATGAATCTATGCCATCCTCACTAACTGCATTATCATCCCCCATCTTGGTAGGATTTTCTCTGTGGAGGTGAATGGGTCCCAGCTGTGAGAGAAGATAACCTGATCTTTTGCTGAAGTGATTACCTTTTGGATACAGACACTATAATAAATTCTCTTAGGTCCTAACTCAGCAGGCTTGCTGAGAGGCACTTAAAGGGTTGATGTGATAGGTCTCACTATGTCAGAGAGCGTCTCTCTGTGCTCATGACTAGGCCTGCTTGAAAATGTCCTATTAAAAAAAAAGCTGCTTTTTGACAACACAAAACAAATTGCCAAACTATTCTGTCTGAGTAAACAAATTGTTTTATGAAAAAGTATCCAGTTTCCCAGAAAAAAATTTTTCATCAAAAAAAGATAAAACCCCAAACTGAGATTCTGGTACAATACCTAATGGGAAATGTAGTTTGGTTGCCTGCTGTCCCCATTCTTTGCTATAGGTCAGCCTCCCAGATTAGACTACATTTCCCAAGACACACTATGGCCAAGGTTTCCCAGGATGCAAAAACATGCCTCACCAAGAGGGGAGATGGTATTGCATCATGGGAGTTGTAGTCAGCCCAAGGAGACTGGTGTACAAAGGAGAATGGCAACATGAGGCATTCAAACTACAAAGCCCATTAGGCCCCATGGCAGCATTTCCAAATCAAAATCTTTTGGGTTTTCTCAAAATATTTTGGTATTTTAGTGGCTACTGAAAAAATGTCTGTGGAAAATTTAGACAGAAAAGGGTTTTTTTTCCCATAAAAGTTAACATGGTTTTCAACATTTGAGAAAACATTAGCCTATCCATATGTGAAACTACCTACTCCCAGGTCAACAAGGGAGTGACCTTATCTCAGCTGCCCCTTTTCCTTCACAAAGGGGCTCAGAAGAAGGGCCAGGGGAACTGCTGCACAGGAGGCAGTCAGCCTTTGGGAGAGTCACAGTCATCCCAGGATTCCAGCTGTGAGTTGTGCCCCAAATAAGAAGTTTCCTGGTGCCTGGATTCATTTATGTTGCTGTCTGTTGAGAAACATTGTCCCCGGGAGAATGTTCACAGCCGTAGCTTTTGGGAGGGGAGTTTGCAGGCAGTGTGTTCCCTGTAAACTGTGCACTTGTGTGACCACATAGGAGAGATTCATATGCCGCTCAGCTGATTAACAGCCCACACCTAGATTTTTTGTTTCTACTGGTGGTGCACGTTCACACATGCCTCAGTGCACATAAAATGTATTCCACACATGGACAGGAAAAAAAAATCTGTGCATGGATTTAAAAGATTAGAGGGAACATTGTTTGCAGCATCATGATTTCATGGCTAGTTAGCTGTTCATCCCAGCAGCTGCTCTAAAACCCTGACACAGTGGCTACCCCCAAGGAGCTGACTGCCAGTCAGGTATTGCTGGAGCACAAAGGACTCAGGCAGTGTTTTCTGTACATCCCCTCCACCAAGGGAGTAAGAGCTGGCTGTGGCACAGAATTCCCACCTGGCATGGGAATTCTCTGCGGGAGAGATCCAGAGCACAAAAGGGTGGGATTGCAGCTTGGGATCTGGCCCAGTTACAGTTTCCTGTTTCCATCCCCACCAGGTGCAGGAAGATGAAATGCAGCCCCACAGAAATTAAAATGCTGACAATGAAGATCAGCATGGTAGCCAATGAGAACTGGGATTACTTTCCTCTTGTATAACCAAAAAAGGGGGATGATTTGACTTGGTTAAGAACTGAGGTAAAAAAGGACAGAAAGTGGGGAACTTCGTCTGCAAAAAATGACAACAAAAATTTAACAACTGCCAGAACATTCTGATTCAACATAGAGCCATAGTGCCTCATTGAAATTGTCATTTGGGTGCCTTATACTTCCACTGTCCTCTATGGGCTGTGTTCACTGGCAGGATTATATTTCTCATGATTTGTCACTTTCCTCTTAGTGGTGAAGGGAGGAGGTGTGTCACAAGCAAACCTGCCCATGGTGCAACATGGGAGATGTAGTCCAGCTAGAGAAAATGGCCCATAGAGAGAAACTGGAGCACGCGGCGAACTACAACCGATGTGAGATATAGTGGCACCACTCTGAATCTAAATAGCCTGGTTTTCAGGTGTTCAGAGTTTTGGCAAAATAATATTTTCAGACAAAATCAGGCACCTTCTACAACTATTCTCATGTAGTGGAAACCTCAATTTCCCATTTAAAAAAATTGACAAAATTGTCAACCAGTCCTATCTCAGGGCCAGTCAGTTTCCCTTGCACTGTCCCCTGATATGCCTTCAGTTCAGGACCTTCCTAAAGGATGTTCCTCCCATCAAGGAGGGTGCTTCGCATTCCCCCTCCCTCTTTTAACACTTGCTCGAGGCAGAAAGACTCACAGTGTCGGGGGTGTAGCCGATGGCTTGCTTCGCAACATACGAGGTTGAGACCGCAATGCAGAACTCCAGCACGGTCATGAAGAGCAGCATGACTGTGATCCCCGTTCTAGCACTCTGGGGAGCACAAAACCACAGGGGATGCTAATTACTTTTGACTGCTAGTGGGAACACACTGCACGGGACTGGCGTGAGGTAACACACAGGGGTGTCCAGTTCTAGAGATGCAGAAATCCGGTTCCGGTTCCTTCCTTTTCCCGGGCACACAGAATTCTCCTCCTCTTTCCAGCTGCTCCGCAGCCCCACTAATTGTGAGGTATGGAACCATTCCACTATCAGAGATCATAGGGTTCTGTTTTTTCCTGCATCTATAGGGATCTGTGCCCCTGAGATTCTCAAGATAGCTTTCCCAATTATCACCTCTAATACCATTAACTCACAAACATCCCACTCTCCCCACCTCTAATATCGTCAATTCACAGACACTTACCTTCCTTCCTCCCCCCCCCCCCCCCCCGCATCCCCCTCCTGTTCTGAAATGTGATTTGTCCTTTTCATATGTGTTCATTTTTTTTAATTGTATCTTTTGGTATATAGGGTTGTGACTATTTTCTTCCACTATTTGATCTGAGGAAGTGGGTCTGGCCCACGAAAGCTCATCATCTAATAAACCATCTTGTTAGTCTTTAAAGTGCTACATTGTCCTGCATTTTGCTTCAGCTACCCCAGACTAACACGGCTACATTTCTATCACTCAATAGGGGCAGTCTTTTGTCAAGATGCAGGATTATGCACTATGGAGGCAGTGTTGTCTAGTGGATAGAGGACTGAACTAGGATTAAGAAAAACTGGGTCTGCTGGGTGACTTTAGGCAAGTGGCTTCATCTCCCCGTGCCTCTGTTTCCTCATTTGTGTGAAGTGGGGTTTAAACAAAGTAAAACAGGCATTTGGGTCCAATCTTGCTCCCACGGAAGTCAACAGGAGTTATTGTTAATTTGCATGTTGACAGCAGCTGGAAACCCCAGCCATGGATTAGCACCCTAATGGGATAGGATCTGTAGGAAACACAGAACAAAAGCATGATCTTTGCCTGGATTTTGACCCTGGCAGGAATTTTGACCCTGGTTTTATCAGGAGCAGAATCAAGCACATTAGTAGAACCCTGGAAATCTGCAGATATCCACTTTATATCCGCAGCTCAGTTTTGTGGATATGGCTGCAGATGCAGTTACAAAAATTGTATCTAGAACCCTACAAAGTTGCAGATACCCACTTTATATCCATGGGTGTCTGCATCTATGGATATCAATGTGGATATCCACGGAAGTCAGTGTGAAAGTTCACTGTGAGTGTGAAAGTCCATTTGTATCCAGATGCAGATACAAATACACATGCTTTACACAAGAGAGTGAATTTTTGTCAGTTTTTCCCCAGATCAAAAGTCTGGCACTGAACGCACGGATAATTTCTATCCTGGAGTTAAGGATTTAAAACAATTCCCAGTATTAAAAAAAAAACCACACACACACACACCTGTTAGGGCCGGTCTTGGTAGACTTAACTCAGACTCAGTGCAGGGTGATACACCTCTTAGGATCCCTTCCAGCCTTATACGTCTATAATTTTATGGCAGAGTCTGGCCACTTACCCACCAAAGGTATTCTTCATGGTTATCATAACGTGAGGGATTCAAAATCAGATCCGCTATCAAGATAATTATCCCAAAAGATGAAACAGTAGCACTAGTGTTGTTTATTTTCTGGTTGCTTCTCACCTGAGAAAGATGTGCAGAAGGTGAGGCTGTGTGTAGGCATAGCACAGGTTTAGCTGAAATAAGAACCAAGTTCTGAGATCATTCCTGAACCCCTGTATGGCCACCATGGATAGACACAAAAAAATTTCTCACAGATATGGGATATTCTCCTTGAAGTATCTGAATGATCTTATTAAATGAGCTTGTCTGCAAATAGATTTTGCTTCTATTCTGTAGGTTAACGTAATCATTTTGATTTAGCTAATTGGATTTTTATAAATAAATGTTTGTTTGTAAATTATAGAATACAAATAATTAGCTTATAATTTAACCATTCACATTAAATACACAATTCAAGCACAGCCAAGGTGAAGTAGCAAATGGATTATACACTAGGAGGAGTTTATGTATTATGGGACATTTATATATAGTTTACTTTTCTGTAAATATATTTTGAAAAAAAAAATAGAAACCAGCCCTGGTTCTTCCCTTTCTTTTGATATTAGAATAGAGCCAAAAAACAAAACCCAAAAAACTCAGTTTCAGGAAAGAAATAGTAGCCCGCTTACACTAAGCCTCTGGCTGCCAGGTGTTAGGGCTGGATGGATCATCTGGAAATTGCCCTGTTTTGTTCATTCTCTGTGAGGATCTGGCACTGGCCACTGTGGGCAGACAAGATACGGGGCTAGATGGACCTTTGATCCGACCCGATATGTCCATTCCTACAGTCTTATGTTATGGCAGCTAGGCCTGAGAATGGTACACCCAGGAGAACTGCAAAGCTATTTTACGGACATTTCCTCTTGGCTACGTCTACACTGGCCCCTTTTTCGGAAGGGCCATGCTAATTTTGAAAGTGGGAATAGGGAAATCCACGGGGGATTTAAATATCCCCCGCGGATTTAAATAAACATGTCCGCCGCTTTTTTTCCGGCTTGGGAAAAGCCGGAAAAAAAGTGTCTAGACTGGCCCGATCCTCCGGAATAAAGCCCTATTCCGGAGGATCTCTTATTCCTACTTTAGCGCCAGTCTAGACGTGATTCTCCAGAAAATAAACCCTTTTCCGGAGGATCTTTTATTCCTACTTGAAAGGGCCCTGGGTGCCTGGCACCTGCTTGCAGCTTTAAGGGGTGCCGCGTGACCTGGCATGTGGCACCCCTTACAGCGGCCATCAGGCACCCCCTATAGGTTGGCGCCCTGGGTAACTGCCCGGCTAGCCCCCCCCCTTAATCCGGCCCAGGTGGGGAGCAGAGCGGTGAGTCCAGGCCTGCATGCAGGATTCTCTGAGAACTATTCTTCGAGGACTTGGAAGCAAAATCCCTCAACGAGGCACTTTCCCTCTTAAAAGTGACTCCGAGTTTATGGAGATTTGTTGGGAAAATACCCCACCCCAGCCAAGCTCCATTAACACTTCAGCTGCCTAGGTAAAACCAGTCCTTGCTTGGTGCCACGGTTCTGGCTACCAGCTGCCTGCCTGCTGTGTGAGCGTCGGAGTCTGGGAGACTGAACTTTGGATTTTAGTGTAGTTATTTAAAATCTGCACCTTGAGCCCTGCACCCCTTTGTGGGGGAAGGGAAATCCTAGCACCAGCAGCAGCCTGACTCCTGTCTGAAGAAGACGCCTGCCAGAAGTGAACATCAGCCCCTCTTTAGTGACTGAGAGGTCCCGACTATCTCTAAACCCAAGGGTCCTTCATGGAGTTGTGAGTGCACCAGCGGGGGTGGTCCTGGCTCCATGCCCAAAAGGGACAGGGCCTTGGCATAAGGGGCAGGACTGGGGGACAGACAGCCCTCAGCACCGCATGGACTGCAGCATGCGCCCTTCCCTCCAGTCCTCAGAACCACCTGGAGCTACACTCTAATGGTGGTTCAAAGGACCAAGTATGGGTCATTCTGCAGTTTACAATTTTCCTTCCAAGATGCCCTGGAAGGAGTAAAGGGGTGGACGCGCTGCTGAGTAAATTCATATGGGAAGAAAATAAGGAAGTTACATTTTGCTGAGCTGGAGGAGTTGTGCCTCCAAACCTGCAAGAGCCTGGCACCGAAAGAGGGAACCAGGTGAACAAGGTGCTTCTTGCAGGAAATAGGGCTGGAATGCTGATCTATACACTCACTTTGCAGAGGTGGTCACGGCAGGTATTGGATTAATATTTCACTGTCCATCATGCTAGGAAAACATGGATTTTTTTTTGTCTCCCTCTAGAAGCGGAGCCACATGAAGGGTTTTAAGGCTGCTACTGCAGCTACTTAAGGCTCCTGGTCTGCTAGTTCAAGTAGCAAAGAATTTTCTTTTGGGTGTCAAGGTTCCAAAGATCTAAGCCATGTGGCTGGTTTAACAGTCAATTACACATGCTGCGTAGATCCTAGGGTAAAAGTGAGCCTGATTTTTCTCTCTTCGGTCCTCTTATTTAAAAATGAGATTTTGGGGCTTATGTAATTTTTGGAGTTCAAAGAATTGCCTGAATTTTAGGGCTTCATATAGTTCTGTGACGTTGGGAAGGTTACCTATGACCACAACAATAAATCCCAGCAGTTGGTTATCTGCGAAGTCTGCCATTGGCTAGCTAACATATTCTTGGGAGTGGCTCATTGTTATCAGCGTATGGCTCATGGGGCGAATTATGCAATGTGTCTTTCCCCTTAGAAAAGACAGTTCTTATTATGCAGAGAAAAGAAAATAGATGATAAAAAATAAGAAGCATTGAAACATTCAAAATTTCATTGAAATTGTGATTTTGTGTGTGTGTGGGGGGGAAATGGTGAATACATTTCTACAACATTTTTCATTCATTCCCCTATTATTTGATCTGTGGTAGGTCTCAAGCAAAAACTTAGACACGTGCCTAATTTTTAGCACCTCCTGAAGTTTCACAGGCTACGTCCAGACTGCACGCCTTTTTCAACATAGGCTTTTTCGACAGTATCTTTTGAAAAAGCCTCTTTCGAAAAAGAGCGTCTACACAACAAGAAGATTTTTTCAAAAAAGTGGCTCGCTTTTTCGAAAGAGTTTAGATGCTCTCTTTTGAAAAAGCCTTGTTTTCATGCAATAACACCTTTTTTCAAAAGATGTCTTTCAAAAAAAGGCGTTCTCCCTTGTAAAACAAGGTTTACCACTGTTGACAAAACTGCTGCATTCTGTTGATTTATTGTCAACAGAACGCGGTGGTAGTTTAGATGCAGGTATAGTTTTTTTGAAAAAAGGCCACTTTAAAAAAAAAAAACCTGTAGTCTTGACACACCCACAGATACTTAACTGTTTTGCTCAATAGGAACCATGCTTGAAGTCCCCTTCTCTTCATTCCTTTAATATATTTCTGGCTACTTTAATTCTTCTAGATTCCCTTTATTTTGTTTCAGGCTCCCTGGAACCTTTGTGGTGTGGAGAGGGCAAATAAAGAAGTTATTTTTTAGTTCCCATAATAGAAGAACTAGAGGACACCAAATGAAGTTAATGGATAGCTGGTTTAAAACTAATAAAAGAAAGTTCTTCTTCACATAGCATGTAAAAGTGGCAAGGAGTCCTGTGGCTCCTTATAGACTAACCGAAGTGTTGGAGCATAAGCTTTCATGGGCAAAGACCCACTTTGTCAGATGCATGGAAACATCTGACGAAGTGGGTCTTTGACCACAAAAGCTTATGCTCCAACACTTTGGTTAGTCTATAAGGTACCACAGGACTCCTTGCCGCTTTTGCAGATTCAGACTAACACAGCTACCCCTCTGATACTTGACACAGCATGTAGTCAACCTGTGGAACTCCTTGCCAGAGGAGGCTGTGAAGGCTAGGACTATAACAGAGTTTAAAGAGAAGCTAGATAATTTCATGGAGGTTAGGTCTATAAAAGGCTATTTGCTAGGGAATAGAAATGGTGTCCCCTGGCCTCTGTTTGTCAGATGTTGGAGAAGGATGGCAAGAGACAAATCGCTTGATCATTTGTCTTCGGTCCACCCTCTCTGGGGCACCTGGTGCTGGCCACTGTGGGCAGACAGGCTACTGGACTAGATGGACCTTTGTTCTGACCCAGTACGGCCGTTCTTATGTTCTTATGTCTTTCCCTTGTTCCTTGGTAGCCTGGTTGCTGTTTGCAGCTCTACTTTCTATTAGATTCCTTTATATTGAGCTATAAACCTAATTGAGGTTTATATCTCAAAAGAAAAATTGTTGGGCCACTAGAAACTCACCAGCCAGGTGCGGGGATGATTCTCAGCTGCAACCGAGAGGGATCCAGCAATAACAAACTGCCCAGGAAAGAGAAAATCATCATTCAGACTTCACATTTACCAGAAAGATGGCTCCTCCAAGACAGGCGGTGAGGGGAACAAGGGAAAAGAATGGCACTCCCCCCAGCGAGAACAATCATAATTGTTTTACCCAGTGCTTACAGAACACTTTCCATTTAATAAGGCAGCCAATCAGGTTCACTGAAACCCTCTCAGTTAAGGTGACATCCAGACCATAATCCTTTCCCATAGATTCTCCGCCTCCTTTTCTCTTTTCCTGCTCCTTTCTGACAACTGAGCGTTTGCTCCTCTCCCCATAAATAGAGGCGCGGTGATTGGATGGTCCTGAGAAGAGTGCAGGATGTCACCAGGTTCCTTAATTTCACCCAGAGCAGCTGTGCCATCTGCTGCTTATGTCTCCGCCAATGGTGTCTGAGCGTCTCAAGGCTGACCTGCAGCATGGGTGGTACACAGGTAGGGGACTGCTCGGAGGTTTCCTGGCCCTCTGCTCCAGGCAGATAGAGAATACAGAGTTCCCCACAAGGTTTCTGAGTCACTTTTACCACGACCTGGCTCTGGCTTCCAGCCTGGCCAGTGGGGTGGGGAGGAAGGGCTAGGAGAAAGAGGGGGACCCTAACAAGGCCCAGTTCAGCCAGGGGAGTTGCAAAGGGGTGAAAACATGAGCTTTTGCCACAGCCTAGTAAGCTAGAAGTGCTCAGACAGTGACCTCACAAAGGCCTGGGCCTTGACATCAGCCCACGAGGCAGAGGTGTGGAGCCAATGATTTTATGGAGGCTTGAGAGACATCAGTCCAGCAGAACGGCGAAGGCAGGGACCCCACAGCAACTTGGCCTGTAACACCAGCCCAACACGGCAATTTGGGAGAAGAGAGCGAGCAGATTTTCAAAAACGTAAAGCCAGAACATCCAGCATATAGAACCGGTGAGGTGAGGCAGCAGGGACTGTGAAAGTGGTACTCAGTGGTAGCTGGTGGAAGGCACCTGTCTGTCAAGTGTGTGAGGGTGGGTTTCCTTTGCGGTGTACTAAGGTGGCCTACGTTTTTGATGGCTGGACCAGGGCACTGCATAATGCAGGACAGCAGACTAATAATCTGCTGAGAAAAGGTAGGAATGGGACTAGCAATTAGATGGTTCAATGATCTACCAAGTAACAGCAGCAAGGGTAGCAGCAGACTGAAAGGTGAGCCAGTTTAGACCAAGGAATGTTCCACCATATCCCAGTGAAATAACATCCACTGCAGGTTTCTGACCTGACCGCACATGGCCTCTTTGCCTTTGCGGGTTGCTTTTGGTAGTGAGATACTAGGTATGTCTATGCAGCACCGATATTTTGGAATGACATCAGTTATTCTGAAATAACGTAATGCGCGTTTACACAGCAAGCCCATTATTTTGAAATAAATTCGAAATAACGGGCTTCTTACTCCATCATCTGGAAACCTCATTGTATGAGGAGTAAGTGAAGTTGGAGGAAGAGGGCTCTATTTCAAAATAAGTGCTGTGTAGACACGCCCAAATTTGAAATACACGCGAGCCCCGACTTGCAACGTGATTGGTTCCTGGGGAAGCATTGTAAGTCGAGGGCATTGTAACTCGAACCCTCATTTACAATAGGTGCCGTGCGCAGTCGTAAATGTGGACTGAGGATGTAAAGGGGGGTTTCAGTCCCTTCTGCACTTACAAAAACAGTTATAAGTGTGGGGAGGTTGGAACTCGGGCAGTCGCATATCGTGGGTTTCCTGTAAGCTATTTTGACTTAAGCTACCCAGTTAGCGTAGCTCAAGTTGCATAGCTTATGTCTAGTTTAGCCCTGCTGTGTAGATGTACCCTATCTGTTACTTATGGACCATAGCTCCAGTCTGCATTGTCTCTCGCTACATATAGGAAGTTAGAAATAAATGAGGAGCATTCAGGAGATCTGGATTCTATACTTAGTCACAGTTTTAATTGCATTACCTTGGGTGACTCTTTTAGCCCTTTGCTGCCTTCATTTTCCCATCTGTAAATTGGAGCTAAGGAGATATGTTTAGGAGATATGCTTATGCCTAGAAAGTGCATTGAGATCCTGGAAGTGGCTGTATTTTCTTATGCATATTGCTTTAGTCATCATAGATGGGCAGAGCTTTCATGATCAACAATGATTATTTATCCATGTGGCCATGCCATAATTTTATAATGAATCCAATTATTCTACTCACAAAAATTCCTCCCCAAAAGGGGTACCCCGTGAAGGCAGAGATGAAAGTGGGTCGCTTCATGAAAATGGTAGAGATGCCTCCAAAGCCAATGGTCATCAGCCCAGTCAGGATCTGGAGGGCCTGTGGGAAGAGAACGGGGTAGTAAGAGGAGACATTTCCACCCCATCTTGGAGATGAGCAGAGCACCTTGTCCTGGGTGGAGCTGACTGGATATAGGAATGCCCGTCCTGTGGGAAATTCTTATCCTTAGACAGTTGTTTTAATTTGAAACTGTTCAACTTGGAAATGTTAGGACATTTAATTTCTGTCTGTCAAACTGCTGTCTTACGGAGTTGCAGTTGGGGTGTCTTCTCTTCTGTGGGCTAGGTGTCCCACTTGGACTCTATCTCACATGCGAAATCATGGCACTCTCATGACCTGCCATGGGGGGAGGGGGCAGTAAAAGAGAACATGGTGCATTTGGAAAGAAGTCGTTTGGAATAGAAGCCAGTGCTATTGGGAAGAATCACTTTAGGTTCCTTGAGGCCTCATAGAGCTCAGGTGGATGCATTTTAATGTCACACTGACCTGAGAGGAAACATTGCAGTTGAGGTTGACAAACTGAGGTAGTTTGATTTGGGAAAACCCAATCCCAAACCAAAATATTTTGTTTTGATTTTTCCTCAGGGAATCTTTGATTTTGGGGGGCAACAGTTGCCATTGAAAAAAATGTCGACCTCTGCCCAAATGGTTGCCTCAGCAGGAGAATGATCTGGCCTGTGATATACAGGAAGTCAGTGGTCCTTTCTGGACTGCAAATGTACTAACTCATTTGCTTATTTATTTACATAGAATCATAGAAGTGGAAGGACCTCGAGAGGTCATCAAGTCCAGACCCCTGCCCTCAAGGCAGGACAAAGCACCATTTACATCACCCTTTGGTAAATGGGTGTCTAACCTGCTCTTAAATATCTCCAGGGATGGAGATTCCACAACATGACTAGGCAAATTATTCCAGTGCTTAACTACCCTGACAGTTAGGAAGTTAACATAACTCAGTCATTGTCTTATCCCAGTTGGCTGATGGATAGAATTTGCACGTTGGTTGATTTCACTGGCAGTGCAAGACTGAATGGAATCAGCTCTGCATTGCTGTAACTAGAAGAGGGACCTGAAGTTTGGACTGCTCCTTCTCAGACCAGATCCTCGGCCAGAGTGAATTAGCACAATGCAATGACACTATTTTACACCAGTGAGATAGCTGTACCCTGCTTCCCAAGATGGGGCTGTTTCATTCCATTGGTTACAGAAATAGCTGATTTATAATCTTTTCTCGCTTGTTTTTTTTATTTCTTGATGAATCCTTATTTCTCTGTTTGGGCATCTAAGAAGATTGACCGCCCCCCACAAAGCAACGAGGCCTGGGGGTACCAGCTTCTCGGCTTCCATAAAGCTGTTTGTTAAAATATAAAAGGAAAAGGTGGTGTCTGGAGTTTGCTCGTGCTCTGTCATTCACCCACCTGTGTAGGGCCTTAGGTATTAAAATGACTCATCCTAATGCACTGAGAGCAAAACAACACTTACCCCCATGGTCTTGGGCTGTGCTTTGAGGAATATCTCCATCATCCCTGCTTTCCTCAGCTGTGCGACCTGTTCACCTGCACTCTCGGGATACATTGACCCAAGCGGCTGGTTCCAAGGGTCCATGACTCTGAACTGCTGAGGCTCGTATTGCATCACCTGAGGAGTCTGGGAAATGGCCCCAGAGGCCCCCTGGGCTTGTTGGGTGATGCCAGTGCTATTTGGGGGCATGAACACAAGTGCCTCATTGGCCATGCTTCCTGGTGTTGCCATGATGGCGAAGATGCTGCAGAAAAGAGTGATTGGCTCAGATTAAACCTTGTGTTACAACACTGGTCCCCAAATTTGCCCATTGGCCATGCTGAGTTGGAATCCCCTTTGCTGTATCTGATACAGAGACAACGAGCAAAGCCAGGGGGAGAGCTTATATCCATAATCCATCCATATTCACAGAAAGCAAAAATCTAGGCTGGGGTTGTCAGTGTAAAGCCTGTTACCTGTAGCTCAACCCCTTTCGAATCCCTGCCAACTTAAACCCCTCCAACACATTATCAATAACCTACAACCTATACTGGAACAGGATACCACACTCCGAGAGGCTCTGGGAGACAGACCCATAGTCTCCTATAGACAACCACCTAACCTCAGGATGATTCTTACCAACAACCACAGGACATATCACATGAATACCAACCCTGGAACTTTCCCTTGCAGCAAACCCCGTTGCCAACTTTGTCCACATATTTACTCTGATGACACCATCACTGGTCCTAACCATGTCAGTTACATGATCAAGAACACATATTCCTGTTCATCCAGAAATATAATTTATGCCATTATGTGCCAACTTTGTCCTTCTGCTATGTATATTGGACAGACTTCTCAGATACTTCGTCAAAGAATTAATGCCCACAAATCAGACATCTTCACAAGGAAAAACCAGTTGGTTTTCATTTCAGCCTACCTGGACATAGTCTTAATGCCCTTACTACATGTATCTTACTTCAAAGAGACTTTAACACCAGACTACAAAGAGAAACTTCAAAACTTTCATTCATGCTTAAATTTGACACTTTACGAATGGGCCTTAACAAAGACGCTAATTACCTTACTCATTACAAAGATAGCTTCCCCACTTATCACCCCTAATTAGCCATTCATTGACTCATAGATAACTATTCCCTCGCTCCCTCACCCCACCTTCTGTTCTAAATCTGATTTGTCAGTTTAATAATGTGTTCACTTTTTTCATTGTATTTCTTTGGTATATATGGTCATGCCAATTCTCTTCCAGAATTTGATCTGAGGAAGTGGGTCTGGCCCACAAAAGCTCATCACCTATTAAACCATCTTGTTAGTCTTTAAAGTGCTGCATAGCTTTTCCTTTTGTTTCTGCCATGATCTTGTCCTTCTCATGGAGCTATAATGGGAGCACAAGCAACACCTAGAGCTAAGGGCTGTGAATTCCAAAGCTGACTGAAAGATTCAGCCACACGACTCCCCTTAATTTCAACATCTCGTTAGCTTTTAAAATCTCAACCAAGAAGCTCTCAGGTCTCCATTCCGCCTCTCCTTTTCCAGGTGCTTTTAACTTTCTGGGTCTATCACATTTTGGAATTGAATTTTCCAGAGTTGAGAAACTGATTATCTTAAGGCTGATGGAGGATGAAATTAACTCAGGTTCTTTGGTCCAAAGACTGTGTATTGGTCCCACTGAAATGAAGGAAACTTCCCCATTAATTTGAAAGGCATGGGATCAGACCTGAAAGTATTTACAAAAGAGATGGCTAAACATATTCCAGCAAGTTCCATTAAGTGGCTATTTGTGGGCATGGGACGGGTCTCCTTTTCACAGAACTTTCCAAGTTTTCATCAAAAAACGGAAAGCGCTCAACCAGAAATATTGCCATTCAGCTATGTTGCTGTAGTGCCTCATGGGATTTGTAGTTCATTTGCCACATATCCCCATTGCCCTGTGCAAGCTGAGAGGTCCTTGTCTGGATTACATCTCCCATCATGTGGAGGCGGTGGTAAATAGCGGCAGCAGCCTGCTGGGTCTAAACCTGATGAACCACCACCATATTATTTCCCACCCCTGCTCTAGATATTTTTTTAATAAGCACTGGAAGGCAGGTTGTGGTCACAATCGATGGGGAGACTTTCATTTAGCAGACCATGGCATACAAGATGTAGAAACTGCATCCTGGAGCTACATACATTCAATTTAGCCTGAGCAGGAATTTAACAGCTTGATGCTGAAATCCACGGGGGTGGGGGGGACCGTTATAGCTTCTGTTACAGAGGAGTCAGACCAGATGATAAGGATCCCTTCAGGCCCTGAAAACTTTCTGTCAAAATACAGTTCAAAGGTAGGTGGGTGGTAAAGAGGGAGAAAAGACCTTGGGAACAGTCAGGACTGTCTTGTCCTTTCCAGAGATTCTGTTTTCAATCTGAGCAACCTTTTGTCCCTCTTCAGTTTCCCTGTCACTGTTTGGGCCAGGGAACTTTTTTCCTTTGCTTGGAGGTTCTGTAGGAGTGGGATGGTGGCACAGGCCACTATGGGCACCTATATTCCTAAAACAGGAGGCATCATCCTTTAGAAGCAGTAAATGCTCCCCCAGATCCAACTGTTCTTTGACGTCACAGACCATGTCAACGCCATCCCAAACTCTGAACCCTTCCCCTTTTACCCACTGGCTAGTGCCACGAAGTGGAGAGCAGCTGACTCATGAGAAGCTTGGATCAATGCAAGCAAGCTGTGTCACTGCTCCTTCCCATTGCACAAACGTTTGCTAGAGGTCTGAGGGGTGCCACTTGTTCTCACAGGAGCCAATGGCTTTGAGCCACCACTTTCTTCTCCTCTCTCCCCCACTACCAGATAATGAGATCTGCTGCTCTTTACATGTTGACCTTATTTCCCCTCAGATCAAAAGGCAGCAACTACAAGGGTCTTGTAAAATGTTACCTCTAATAGTCCCCATCTGTGTGCAGAATAAATTTTGTTATATGCACTGAGGCATGTGTGAATGTGCACCACCAGTAGAAACAAAACCTACCAGTGATGCTCTGCTAATTAGCAGGGCAGCATATGAATCTTTCCTGAGCAGCCACACAAGTGCTCAACTTACAGGAAACACCGGTCCTATAAAATATTGGGGTGTCCCCGCAGCCTCTCCCAATATGACCCCAAACCACCAATTTTAATAGTCTCCCTAAGAAAGTTTGCTCTGAGGAACTTACTCTGTTCCCGCTGTGGTCGCTGTCCTCCTTTCAGCTGTGGGTGACTCCAGAACTCATCAGGAAATTCCCACAGACTCACACATCTTATCAACGTCAGACTTTGAATCCTGCCCTGTCTGTTACACTTAGCTCCTCCTGTTTTTGCTGCCCTGCTTTTCCCCGCCCCCTTGGGACTCCAAACTTCTCTTCCCCTTTGGATATTTTTCTTCAGCCCTTTTGGCTCAGAACATGTGGGGCTTCCCATAAGAGCCCACCAACACTGCCTCTTTGGCCACTGGGGCATCACTGAATGAAATGAGGTCCTTCCTTTTCCTCTTTGCCTCGTGGGAGCTGCCACAGAAGTAATAAGGGCTGGCTGGATATAATCTGATCACAACTTTTCAACTCTGGAAAAATCTCGTTTTTCAAACCCCCTCCCCCCTCCCAAAAAAAAGTATTTCAGCAAGCACCAGCTTTCGTCAATATTTGTTGATGTTTCATTGGAAAGTGGAACAGCCAGAAAAAATAATATTTATGTCTATATGCTGAAAATATTCCTTTTTTTATGAAAACAAGGAATTTTCCATTGAAAATTATGATGTAAATGGCCTTTTTGTTGTAATGAAAGTTTCTGTGGAAAAAACAGCTCTAATATGTGCTGTCAGGACTTACCTAGTGCTTTGCATCTGCAAGACATGCGCTCTCCTTCGGTAGCATCCTCAGGGCAGCCTCTCAGCATATTAACCATTTAGGATCTTCTTATTCAGCATTTATGAAGCACTGGAATGGGTTACCTAGGGAAGTAGTGGAGTCTCCATCCCTAGAGGTGTTTAAGTCTCTGCTTGACAAAGCCCTGGCCGGGTTGATTTAGTTGGAATTGGTCCTGCCTAGAGCAGGGGGCTGGACTTGATGACCTTCTGAGGTCTCTTCCAGCTCTATGATTCTGTGATTCTATGATTTAGCCCTAAGAGAGATTGTGAGGCTTGAAGGTAAACCATGACCCAGGGTCCAGGTGTACTCGGCCATCGTATACAAACCAATGCCAGGGGGAAGGCTTGAGAGATTTACTCCAACCTTACTGGGTTTTCTGCTGTGAGAATCTTCTGATTGTGAGGATGTGCACTCTCTGAATTTTCTTATGCAGCTGTGGTTTGCATACAATGATCCCACAGGGTTGGACCCTGGGTGTGGGTTTACCTTCAAGCCCTGCTCCACGGAGATCAGCTTGTCCTGCATCTAATAAGCTCTTGTGGGCGGCAGAACTTTGTCAGGTATTTCTCTCTCAGCTGCTCTGTCACAGAAACCAGCTGGCATTGAAGACCAAATGATTAAGCAATCAATTTGTAAACACTCAGAAGATAAGAAAAGTAACAGTCAGCATGGATTAGTACAAAACAAGATGGCTGCGTCTAGACAGGCATGATTTTGTGGAAATACTTTTAACAGAAAAGTTTTTCTGTTAAAAGTATTTCCGCAAAAGCGCGTCTAGATTGGCAGGATGCTTTGGCGCAAAAAGTGCTTTTGCGCAAAAGCATCCGTGGCCAGTCTAGACGCGATTTTGCGCAAGAAAGCTCCAGTGGCCATTTTTCGCCATCAGGGCTTTTTTGCGCAAAACAGTCCTTCCCTGTCTACACTGGCCCTCTTGCACAAGTATTCTTGCACAAGAGGGCTTTTTCCCGAGCGGGAGCATGAAAGAATTTGCGCAAGAAGCACTGATTTTTGTACATTACAAAGTCAGTGCTCTTGTGCAAATTCAAGTGGCCAGTGTAGACAGCTGGCAAGTTTTTGTGCAAAAGTGGCCGCTTTTGTGCAAAATCTTGCCAGTCTAGACGCAGCCATTGTGTCAAACCAACTGAACACCTTTCTTTGACAAAGCAACAAGCCTTGTGGAGGAGGGGAAGGGGTAGATGTGGTATATTTTGACATTAGTAAGGCTTTTGAAATTGTCTAGCATAACTGTCTCATAAACAAGCTAAGGAAATGCAACCTAGATGCAGCTGCTATAAGGTAGGAAAGTCATTCCCAGAGAGTAGTCATCAGTTGTTTAGAGTCAAGCTGTAAGGGCATATTGAATGTAGTCACACGGGGATCACTCTTTCAAGTAGGAATAAGAGATCCTCCGGAAAAGGGCTTTATTCCGGAGGATCGCGCCAGTCTAGACGCTTTTTTCCGGCTTTTCCCCAAGCCGGAAAAAAAGCGGCGGACATGTTTATTTAAATCCCCCGCAGATTTCCCTATTCTGACTTACCTGCTTTGCATGACTTTTCCGGAATTAGGGGCCAGTCTAGACGTAGCCCACATGAGTGGAAAAGATTTGAGAGAACATTGGGCCCCACCCAAGCAAATTAGTGCTAGTTGTAAAAGCCATCTTTGTGGTGTCTGAAACTAGTGAAAGGAGACCCTCTACTTTACAACATATGTATGGTAAAGGTTACACGTGGGTATGCATACACCAAACAAACCCCCATCACTCACAGACACACAGCCCATATGCCACATGCACACACGCATCTAGGAACAAGGGGGTTAAAACAACTGACTCAGAATCTATTTTGAAGCTTTATTAAAGAAGCCACCAGAGGCAACCATCTGGCAAATCCCTGGGGAACTGGCTAGTGCAGGGGAGTCATCTCATTTCATTGTGTGTAGTGAAAACGTAACGCATGGTGTGGAACCAACAAACGAGTTCCCTGTGTGACGAGTGACAAGAGCTGGGTTCTAGAGCTGCACTCAACAATGGAATGAGATCGGTCATGCAGGACGGGGCTGGGTTTTACTTCTCAGAGAAGACGCTGCTGGACCAGTCTCATGCGGCCCTATGCTCCATTTCTTCCTTCGGGTCATAAGCCACGTTGCTGTAGGGTGGTGGAGCGGCCATTTGTGGAGAAGTTATTTGTGGAGCAGGAACCACCACGTTCGCATTGACAACATAGGGCACGTACAACATGCTCTGCAAAACAAGAGATCAGCCCTTGCTGGTAACATCATCATCATCATCATCTCTATTCCCACTCCCACACCCATTGCCTCCCTCACTCCTCCAGTCTCGCTCCATCATCTTCCTCACCCTCCTCACCCCCATCACCTTCCTCACCCTTACACTCCCATTCAGCCACACATTGTTCAGCACTCCACCTACATCTTCCTCATCCCTCTAGTTCTTATAACCAGGGCAGATACATCTGTGGTGTAAGGCTCCTGCAGCAACTGGCATTACGCCAGGGATGAATCTGTGCCACCATCACTATCAACCCCCTACTTGCTCTTGGTAGGATTCTCCCCGTGGAGGTGCATGGATCCCAGGTGTCACAGAACATGACCCTGGGCTCTTGATGTAGTGCTGACATTTTGGATATGGAAACTTGGAGTTCTATAGGTTCCTGACTGCAGCAGATTTGCTGTGAGGTACTTAAAGGATTAACGTGGTAGTTCTCACTTCACCACAGAGCATCTGTCTGTGCTCTTGGCCAGGGCTGCTTGGAAATTTCCTGTTAAAAAAGCTGATTACAAACAAACAAACAAACCACCCCTCGCCCATCAAAACTCTTCTGTCTTACTCAGTTGTTTCATGTAAAGTATCCAGGTTCCATGAGAAAAACTAAAATTTTCATCAAAAGAGGTGAATGACCCAAACCCCAAAAATTTCAGTTTGGAGATGCTGCTGCAGGGCTGCATGGCAGATGCAGTTTGGTTGCCAGGTGTCCCAGGGCAGGCTCACAGCTTAGACTACATTTCCCATGACACACCATGTCCAAGGGACTCCCAAGATCCAAGAACTTCTCCTCAGCAGTGTTGCATCAAAAGAGAGAGTCAGGTCATGGAGCCCCTGGCCTATGTAAGGGTATGTCTACACTTGCAGCCTATTTCGGAATAGGGCTGCAAATGTAGGCATTCGGAATTGCAAATCAAGCCTGTGATTTAAATATCCTGCGCTTGATTTGCATCTTCCCGGCCTGGCGCCATTTTTGAAATTTACAAGCCCGAAATAACTGCCTGCATCTACATGTGGCAGTGAAACGGGCGTTTGAAATAAAGCCCTATTTTGAACTACCTGTTATTCCTCCTGCAATGAGATTTGCAGCACCAACAGCCGTGTCACGGGGTCCGTCCCCGATCCACAGTGCCTTCTGCTGTTCATGTTGGGGATTAGCTCTATCGACTCCTCAGAGCACCCTCTGCAAGTGGTGTCTCACCACCCTCACTTCTGTTCCATTCCCTGTTCGGACCCACATTGGCCTTGACCCACGGCATCCATCTTGGGGCGCAGCCCTATGGCTGAGTCCCAGCGCTATTGCCCCTCTCTAGGGGAGCAGCAACCCACTATCTTGTGTCTCACCTCAGCAGCCCACTGCAGGCCTCTACCTAGCCTCTCACTCCAGAGGCAAATTGTAGGCTAGCCTGGCCACCTTCAGCACTGACAAGGATGGGGAAAGGAAAGGAGCCCAAGATCCACTTATGGCCCCAGGCCCGAAACCAGGGATCCTTTACAGTTGCCTCTCACTGCCCCTCCTCCAACTTTAATGCTTCCTGCTTCCCTGGGCCATTTCCTCACAGCCCCAGCACCTCTGGCTCCTGCCTCAAGCTCTCTCCTCCTAGGGCCATGAGCCTGCCAGACATAACGAGGCCTTTCCTGAGACTAGCTGTGCAGTCCTCTAGGAAGCCAGAATTCCTCCCCAGGCTCGTTACAGCAGCCCCCTCTTCCCTGGTCTGAAGTTCCCCTTTTATCAGGGTTGGCTCTGCCCTAATTATCTGCAGGCCCACCTATGGCTGCCCACCTCTCAGCCTTCCTACATTGGTTTTAACCATTGTTGGGCCAGTGCAGGGCAGACACCCCTTCATCAGCAGTTTGCAGCATCACAATTCCAGGGCTGGTTCTATGCTAGCCCCAGTACAGCATAGAAGCTGGAGATGATCCCAAAGCCATTGTCCCTCCGGCTGTGCCCTCACTATATTCCGTCCATTGAGGGATTGGCTGGGCCACGTGGGAATTCCGTGTCAAGGGAATTCTCTGCTGGAGAGATCCAGTGGCTCCAAAAGGGCAGGATTGCAGCTCAGGATCTGGCCCAGTTACAGTTTCCTGTTGCCCTCACCCTCCATCTGGCGCAGTGAGATGAAATTCATCCCCATGGAAATGAAAACACTGACATTGAAGGTCAAGGTGGTGGCAGTGAAAACTGGGATTACTTTCCCCTTGTATAAAAAAAGAATCATTCACTTGATTCATAGTGTCAGCAACCTACTTAGGAATCAAGCATAAAAAGGGCCAGAACATAGGTCTATTTCCTCTGCTAAAAATGTCAACAAATATATATCAACTGCCACAATATTTTGATTCAACATGGAACCCTGGTGCTTCCTGGAAGTTGTATTTTGGGTGCCTTATACTTCCATTGTCATCTACAGGCTGCATTCATGGGCAGGACTATTTCTCCTGTGATTTACCACGTTTCCCTTGTTGGTTTGTTGGGGGGTGGGAAGGGAGGGATGTGTCACAGAGTCCCCAGCCAGGGTGCATCATGGGAGATATTGTCTCACTAGAGAACATGGCCTACAGAGGAAAATGGGAGCCTGTGGCAGTTGGGTTATAACTGCCATCACGCACCATTGTGCTCCCTGGAGTCTAAATAGTTTGTTTTCAGGTGCTCCGTGTTGTGGCAAACCAGCAAGATGTTCTGCACAAACCAGGGGCTTTCTGCTAAAATTCTCATATATTTAAAACCCCAGTTTTCCATCAAAAAGGAATTTGACCAAATATTCAACTAGCCAAAAATCAGGGGCTGTCCACATCCCTTTCCCTCGGTACTCATTGAGGCCGTACATCAGGGACATTCTTCCCACTAGGGAGGGCACTTCATTCAGGCAAACAGCTTCCCCTCATCTGAATGCATGCTCAGACTCAAGTCCTGTTTGAGACTCACGTCACTGGGGGTGTAGCAGAGGGCTTCCGACGCAAAGTGTGAGGTCGAGACAGCGATGCAGAACTCCAGGACGGTCAACAAGAACAGCATGGCTGTGATCCCCTTTGCGCCACCCTGGAGAGCACAAAACCAAGAGGATGCCAATCAGTCCTGAGTGCTGGAGGTAACACACTGAACAGGGCTGCTGTGAGATGACTTACTGGAGACTCCAGTTCTGGGGGGTGCAGAAATCCAGTCCTTCTTCCCTCCTCCCGGGCACACAGAATTCTCCTCCTCAAACTATTTAGCAGCCCAGGTAATTGTGAGGCATGGAGCCACACCTCTTCCAGGAGATCACAGGGTTCTTTTTTCTCCTGCGTCTACAGGGACCTGCTCCCCTGAGATGCAGCCATTTGTTAATAGGGAAGATCGTACAGCCAGGTCTAGGGGAGGTACTGTGGACTATAGGACTCCAACTCAGAGGAACTGTGTTCAGTTCCAAGTTCTGCCACTGGTGTGCATGTGATTTTGGGCCTGTGGCTTTACTCCCCTCTGCCTCAGTGTCCCCATCTGTGCAAAGTGGGGTTAAACAAAGTTAAACAGACATTTGGGTCCCGTGCTGGTAAAATCAAGAGGAGTTATTCATTTCTGTTTTGATAACACCTGGAAGCTTCAGTTGCGAACTAGGATGCTATTGTGCTAGGTGTTGCATAAACCAGTGTTAAAACTCCTGACTGATTTTTCACATTGGAAGGAGTTTTGACATGGGCTATATCAAACAAAACCAAATCAGAAATTCTGGATCTGAACACATGGATTGTTTCTTCCCAGGGGTCAAAGGCTTGGGACAATTTCAGGTACCTGGTTGTTGCAGAAAGAGGGCCTGAAACATAAATCCATGTATTAGAAGCCTAATAGGAGGCCTGGACTAAAGTGGCTAAAAACTTTGCTGATATGAAGCAAAGTCAGGCTGTGAGCAAGAGGCAGGCCCTACTCACAAAATTTGGCATGTATATGGCTGGTATTGCTGAAACATATATTCTTAAGGGCATGTCTTCACTACATGGAAGATAACCACTGCCGTGATTGATCTTCTGGAGTTCAATTTAGTGAGTCTAGTTAAGACTTGCTAAATCAAACTCAGAGGGTGCCCATGCCAGTGTCTGATACTCCTTCTTTTTTCAGGAGTAAGGGAAGCCAACAGGCTCATTTGCTCCTGTCCACCTCCCACTATGGAGACACCACCAAGCTCAGTTTAAGGTAAGCCAGCTCTAGCTATGTATTCTATGTAGCTGGAATTGAGTACCTTGTACTGAGCTTCTGGGTCTAGTGTAGACCTGGCCTAATAGGGGTTAGGCACAGAGCACTCATGCAAGTGTAATGCGGACAGGCAGAACTGAACCTGCAACCTCGGAAGCTTAGTGCGTGAGCCTCTTCCTCTTGAGCTAAAAGCCAGTTGGCTCCCAGCTAAGGCCATAGATCAAACTCATTCTCTCTCTGTGTAAGTGAAGGGTGGGGAACTTTTTATGGGTCAGGGGCTGCTAACCCTTGGAAAAATCAGTTGGGGACCACACACAAGTGAGAAAAAAAAACCCTTCACTGACAAAGAAGGAGAAAGACTGTCCCTACATTCCCCTCACACACTAGAGCCTAGCGGGGCCTGGACTAGTGGATTTTGTGTGCTCCAGCCTGGCAGGATGGGGGAGGGGCTGGAGCACCAGCACGGGATCCCCAATGCTAGAGGGGGAGCCCTGAGCCTCTGGGGATAGATCTAGGCAAGCCGGGAGATGGATGTGGCCCCCGGGCTTGAGGTTCCCCACCCCTGCTGTAAGTGGTCTAAGTGCCACTACATGGGACAGTGCACCACACCCAGCAAGTGTGTAGGTTACATAAGCACATTCCAGCAAGGCGGTAACAGAACACCTTGACACCAGCACATTCCCCACAGATAACAGGAACACCCTGACTCATGCTAAACACAAGGCCAGGACAACAGCATGATAAATAGATATGTTTTGATTAAACCAACATGTACAAGGCCCCGGGTGGCACACTACTACATCAGAGGGTGGCACCATGATACGTCAAGGCCTACAGCGTAGGTTGTTTGTGTACAAAGATGTATCTGAGAGAGAGTTTCTTTGGCCAGCCTAGGGAGCAATAGAAGGCGTTGCCACTGACTGAGTTGCATCCATTGTCATAGGCATACATGTCTTAATATCCTTGTAGAGTCTGCCAGATACTATTATGATGCTTCATAGACAAGAAATCTGTCTGGGTGCCTTCGCCGAAAACCAAGTCTATTGGATTTAATTGAAATCTGTTATTTCTGCTACCTGTGCAGAGCTGGGACAGCACACTACACGGAAACACACACAGCCATCTGACCAATAGATGCCATCTGTGGCATTTTAAACACACCTGTTAGGGATGATAATCTCACCTCTGCACAGGGCGGTGGACTGGGTGCCCCCCTGAGGACACTTCCAGCTTTCAATCTATAGGATTCCATGGCAAACTCTGGCCACTTACCAACCAAGAATGTCTCTCGAAAGATGCATTAATAATCAGCTCCGTTAGCAAGAGAATGATCCCAATGGCTGAGAAGATGGCACTAGTGATATTCATTCCCAGGCTTCCTTTCACCTGAAACAGAAGTGCAGAGGGGTCCAGCAGAGAACAGGTTTCCTTAAAATAAGAACTAGCTCACCTATTGGTTCTGGAAATGCTCCAGCACCTTAGACAAAGTTTGAGGTGGGTGGAATGGGAGGCCGTTGCCCAGCCCCCACCCCCAAATTGTAAGCCTCAAGCTTTGTCTACATTGGTTGTTCACTGGCTACACTTTTGTCATTCAGGGGTGTGAACCCCGCCCTCATGACAAAATTTTTACCAATGAAAATGAAATTCTTGGGTGTGAAGCAATCTATACTTGGTTACATGAAAGTAAGCAAGCAACAGGCATTTTTCAAGTCAGCCCATAATATGAATCAATCACCATCACCTACTAGCAGCACAATCACTGCACTCCCGGCAACAAGTATTACTGGCTTTCAGCATCAAATTGCTACCTCAAGGCATCCCTAATTCTTATGGCCCCACGCTGTTCCCCTCTAATAGCCTTGGTCTCAGGCTGCTCAAATTCAGCCTTAAGGTGTGAGCCTCAGTGGTCCATCCCTGAGTGAAGCTTTCACTTTTACCTTCACAAATATTATGGAGAGTACAGCATGAGGCTATAAGCATGGGGATGTTGTCATCAGCCAGGTCCAGCTTCTCATACAGACATCGCCAGCGGGCTTTTGAATGGCCAAAAGCATACTCGACAGTCATTCTGCAACTGCTCTGCCTTTTGTTGAACCACTCCTTGTGCTGTTGAGGCTCCCAGTGTATGGCTTTGTGTGCCCTGGCGTTAAGGGGTAAGAGGAGGTCTCCCAGGATCACAAGGGGCATTTCCACTTCCCATACTGTGATCATCTGCTCTGGGATGAAAATCTCCACTTGTAGCTTCCCGAACAGGTCAGTGTTCTGAAAGAAGCGTGTGTCATGCACCTTTCCAGAGCAGCCTGTGTTAAAGTCCCCAAAATGCCCACAGTGATCCACAAGCGCCTGGAGAACCATGGGGCATTGGGACAAGACCCAGAATGCCCCACAACCCCCCTCCCCCTGCTTCTACCTTCCCACAAGCCTTTGCAGCAGAAACGGAAGAGATGCTTTGTGGGATAGCTGCCCAGAATGCACCGCTCGGAATTTAACAAGTGTCACAGCTGTGGTCATGCTATTGTGCTGGCAGCTCACAATGTGGACACAGAACTGCAATTTCCCTGCAGCGCTCTGTGAGCAGCACTGTAACTGCCAGTGCTTTATCTACCCATGATGATCTGAGGAACGGAAAACCTCCCTTCTGAGAGGAGACTCAAAGAGCTTGACTTGTTTATCTAACCCAGTGTTTCCCAATTGGTGCTCCAGGGAACCCTGGGGATCCGCGAAAGCAAGGGTTCCGTGAAGAGCCGGCACTCCCCCGCCCCCCTGTTAAAGAAATAGAGTCGTGGCCGAGGGCTTTTTTTTTTTCCTCAACAAAACACGGCAGGGGGCTTTTTTTTTTTTTTTTTTTAAGGCAACTCTAGGGGTTCCGTGGCCAAATAAAATTGGGAAACACTGATCTAACCAATAGAAGGCTGAGGGGAGATACGATTACTCTGTATAAATACATCAGAGGAATAAGAGGAGTTGGTTAAGTTAACTTAACCAACTGATGCTTAACTTAACCAACTGATGCTTAAGCATATTTGTGGGTCCCAGGACAAATACAGAAACTGACCATCAACAATTTTAGGCTTGAAAGCAGGGGAAGGTTTCTAACCATCAGAGGAGTGAAGTTCTGAAGCTGCCTCCCAAAGGGAGCAGTGGGGGCAAAAAAAATCCTACCTGGCTTCCAACCTGAGCTTGATCAGTTTATGGAGGAGATTGTCTGACAGAACCACCTATAATGACACATGGTCCAGTAGCAAATATCCACAGCAGCTGGAGAGGGGACAGGAAACTAGATGAGGAAGACTCAGCCTCGAAATAAGGCAGGCTCCCTTCATGTGGACACGTTACCTCGATGTAAAAGCCCAGGAAGCACTGGGGAGTAATTACGTTGAATGACTTTGGGGAGTAGTGATTTCAAAATAGCAGCAGTAGAGCGTCCACACTAACTCTATTTTGAAATAACTATTTTGAAGTAAGCGTTATTCCCCAAGTGCAGCAGCAGACTGTCCACACTAATGCTATTTCAAAATAACTATTTACTATAAAGTAAAGCAGGAATACGGATTTCAAAATAATCAGCCTCCCCAAGTAAAGCAGGAGTACGGATTTCAAAATAAGCAGCCAGTTACTTCAAAGTAATGGGTTTGGTAGTGTGGATGTTCCACTTATTATTTCGAAATAAGGGGGGTTATTTCAAAATAACTCCCCTAGTGTAGAGCAGGGCTGAGTTACTACACAGAATTTTTTCCTGGGTATCTGCCTGGTGGGTCTTGCCCACATGCTCAGGGTGTAAAAGAGCATCATACTGGAGGTAAGGAAGGAATTTTCCCCCTTTTTAGATTGGCAGAGACCATGGGGAATTTTTTATCCTCTTATGCAACATGGGGTCACTTTGAAGGTTTAAACTAGTCTAAATGGGGAATTCTCTGTAACTTGAATTCTTTAAACCATGATCTGTGGACTTCAGTAACTCAGCCAGAGGTTAGGAGGCTATTAGAGCGGGTGGGAAAGGTCGTGTGAGCTGCACTGTGCAGGAGATCAGACTAGATGATCATGATGGTCCCTTCTGACTGTAATAAGAGTATCTGAGTAAGAAAAGACATTGGCATTTTAAACCTCAGCTGTGTCCCATAAGTGACTAGCCGCAAGATATCAAAACATTTTTTTTATTAGAGCTGAGTGATTCTCATATACTTAATCTTCTTTCTTGATATAGGAATGGGATACAATGCTCCTGTCAGAGATTTCTAAGATTTTATTTGCAAAAGCACTAGAATTTTCAAGTGGTCTAAGTAGCCCCTGGAATCACTCTTAAAGTTGCACTCTCCACCCCAAAAATCTGAAATGGCACCCCCTGTGGGCAGGCATAGAATTTGTTTCCCCCTCACTCACACACAGCGATATTGGCTTGATTGGAACCACCCCTCTCCCAAATATAGAAGTTAGACTGTTCCTAGGGATGCTGGACATCTCAGTTCAGTTCCTATTCGGGCAAGAATCTAATTTTCTCTTTTGCTTCTAGTGCTCAGAGTTTTCATGTTCAAGCCTAGTGGCTCATTTAATAGTCAATGACACATACTGTGTATATTCCAAGGTAACTGGATTTTTGTGTCTTAGGTTCCTCTTATAAGCACTACAGTCACTTAACTATGAGATGTCAGGGCTAATGTAATTTTGGGGAATTCAAAGAACTGCCTGATTTTTAGGGCTTCATATAGACTAAGCCTATGACACTTTGGAAGGTCACAGCTATTGGCTATTGTGGCCCTGAGTCAACTGCAAAGCCTACCAATGGGTAGATAATAGTAACTCATTATTATCAGGGAGTATGGCTCCTGGAGTGAATTATGCAAGGTGTCTTTCCACTTGGAAAGGACAGTTCCTGTTATTCAGAAAATAGTTGGCAAAAGTTAAGAGGAGCTGGTTCAAATTTACAAAATGTCACTGAAATTGTAAATTTTGTGAAGTATGTGGAGGCAGGAATAGTGAAAATGTTTGTCATTTATTCCCTATTATTTTATCTGCTATAGTTCCTAATTCAGGAAAGCACTTAAGCGCATGCTTATTTTTAGCACATCTTTAAGTCTCAAATACTTACTGCTTTGCTCTCAATAGGGAGCTTAGTTTGAAGTCCCTTTCTCTTCAGTCTTTTGGGATTACTTCCGGCTACTTTAATTCTTCTAAATTCCACCCTTTTTTCAGCTCCCTAGACCTTTTGTGTCTCTGTTGTTCCCTGGTAACCTGGCCTGCTTTGCTCTCAATAGGGAGCTTAGTTTGAAGTCCCTTTCTCTTCAGTCTTTTGGGATTACTTCCGGCTACTTTAATTCTTCTAAATTCCACCCTTTTATCAGCTCCCTAGACCTTTTCTGTCTCTGTTGTTTCCTGGTAACCTGGTTGCTTTTTCAGCAGCTGTTTGCAACTCTACTTTCTATTGGGCTGCTAATTGAAGGTGGTTGTTGGGCCACAAGCTGCTGCTATGGATACCAGGGCAGACAGCAAAGAGTGGTTTAAAGTATCCCCATTTCTCTTCCAGATCCCTGTTTGTCTCTTCTGTTTTCCTCTCCAACACTAGTTCCAAGAGAAGTTGGTCCAGTCGACGATATTATCTCATCCACCTCCCTCTCCAATGTTCCTTCTCGGTGTTCTTGATGAACAAGCTCTGTGCTCTTTTCCATCATTCACTCTTCCTGGACAGTGCCCTCGGTAAAGCAGGGCTGAACTAAAAATCTCCCACATTAGGAAAAGAGAGGAAACTCTCCCTAGACACTCACCAGACAGGATTTGTGATGCTTCTCTGCTGCAACCGAGAGGGATCCAGAAATGATGAACTGCCCAGGAAAGAGAAAACCATCATTCACACTTTGCGCTTACGAGAAAGATTGGGTCTCTGAGACAAGCTGTAGGTGAGGGGTACAAGAGCAAAGAATAACACTTCCCCCCAGCGCTTAGAGAGCACTTCCCATCTAATAATGCTGCTGCCAGCCAGGTTCACTTCAATCTTCTCAATTAAGGTGACACCCAGGCTGTAACCCTTTCCCACAGATCCTCCTCCTCCTCTGCTCTTCTCCTTCTGAGTTCTGCTCCTTTCTGACAACTGAGCTCTTGCTCCTCTCTCCAGAAATAGAGGAGCAGGGACTGGAAGGTCCTGGGAAGAGCTCAGGAGGTCACCAGTTTCCTCACCTCACCTTCCACCCAGAGCAGCTGTGCCTTCCCCTTCCTACGGAGACTGTACAGTACTCCCATCGCCATGGCATCCGAGCATCTGTGCATCTTAAAGCTGACCTGCAGAGCCCCCTGCTGTTCCAGTGCTGTCAGTCCGGCCTCCCAGCTGTGCTAACATGCCTCAGTCCAGACCTACGGAGCCCCCTGCTGTCACCTCCACACTCTGCTTTCTGTGGAGGAGCAGATGTCAATTCCTCTGGACACTTGAATAGTCCCTAGCTTGGAACCTTTGCTCTTTTTGCTGTTCTCCTCCCCCGCCCAACACACTCCGCACCCCCAATTCGGGGTAGATAAACTCTAACAAGGCCCAGTTCAGCCAGGGGAGTTGCAAAGGGATGGAGACATGAGCTTTGACTGCAGCCTTGTAAGCTAGAGGTGCTCAGACAGTGGCCTCACGAAGGCCCAGGCCTTGACATCAGCCCAGTAGGCAGAGATGCTGAGCCAATGACTTCACGGATGCCTGAGAGCCACCCTGGGTCCAGCAGAGGGGTGAAGGCAGGGACCCCACAGCAACTTGACCTGTAACATCAGCTCAACACAACAGTTTTGGTGACTAAGATGAGCAGATTTTCAAAACGAGGAGCCAGCACCCCCGACAGGTAGAACAGGTGATGTGGGGTAGCTGGGATAGTGAGAGTGGCTGGTGGCCAGTGTTCCCGGTAAGCAGTGCACTTGTGCAGCTCAGAAACCATTCAAATGCCACCCATCTGATTAGCAGAGCACCCACAGTGAGGTTTTGTGTTTCGATTGGTGGTGCACATTCACACATGCCTAGGTGCACATAAAATTTATTCTTCACATGGATGGAAACAATCCACACATGGCTGGAAAAGATTTGAGAGGACATTGCTGGTGGAAGGCACCTGTCTGTCAAGCACCCGGGGGTGGGTTTTATAGGGGAGTGAAGTGGCATGTGGGGAAGGTTTTTGGCAGCTGGGTCCAGGGCACTGCATGATGCAGGACAGCAAACTAATGATCTGCTGAGCAAGGGGAGGAAATGTCTGAGCAAATGAGATGGGCCGATGATCTACCAGCAGCAAATGTGGCAGCAGACTAAGAGTTGAGCCAGTTTGAATGGACCAATGTTCTCCCAGGTCCCCATGAAGAGACATCCACTGCAGTTTCCTGCGGTGACCATATGCTTTCTCTTCCCCTGTGTGAGTTGCTTTTGATAGCAAGGTGCTAGGTATCTGCTTACTTACTGACCACTGGCACAAAGAAAGTCTGAAGTAAATAAGGAGGAATCAGGAGAGCTGGATTATTTGCTCACTTCTGCCACAATTCATTTGCATCACCTTGGGTGACTCTAGTAGCCCCTTGCTGCCTCAGGTTTCCCCATCTGTAAGATGGGGATAAGAATACCTAACTCACTAGCATTTTATGTGGTTTAGTTCACTCTTGTTTAGAGAGTTCATTAAGATCCTGAATGCATCCATCTTGCTCTCTATTTATCATATATATATCACTACAGAGCTTATAGATGGGTGTCATTAATGATAGACAATGAAAATGTATCCATGTGGCCATGCCATCATTTCATAAATGCATGTAATTATTCTACTCACGGAAAATCCTCCCCAGAAGGGGTACCCTCCAATAAAAGAGATGGGAATGTAGTATCCGATGAAAATTGCACAGACAGCACTAAAGCCAATGTGCATCAGCCCAGTCAGGATCTGGATGGCCTGTGGGAAAAGAATAGAACAGTAAGAGGAGCCAATTCCTAGCCACCTTCTGGAGAAGCAGAGCACCATGGTCTCAGAAGAGCTAATTGGAAATTGGAACGTCCATCCTGGGGGAAATTCTGATCTTTATACAGTTGGTTTAATCTGAAATCTGAAGAATTTCAGGTTGGAAATGTTGAAACATCGTTTCCAGTTTGTCAAATTGACTTTAAATGTTTCATTTAGGCTTGGTTAACACTGAGCTGAGTCCACCTGTGTGTTGCCTCATAAGAACTGTAGTTGGGGTACCCTGTACTCCCATAGAATCATAGAGTTGGGAGAGACCTCAGGAGGTCATTGCATCCAGACCCCGGCTAAAAGCAGGACCAATCCCAACTAAGTCAGCCCAGCCAGGGCTTTGTAAAGCTGGGACTTAAAAACCTCTAGGGATGGAGGTTCCACCACCTTCCTAGGTGACCCATTGCAGTACTTTAACACCCTGCTAGTAAAATAGTTTTTCCTAATATCCAACCTGGACCTCCCACTCTGTAACTTGAGATCATTGCTCCTTGTTCTATCATCTGTCACCACTGAGAACAGCCTCTCTCCTGTCCCCACTACAGGGGGCCTTGAAATTAGTCTGAGGCAGGCTCCGTTTTTGTGGACAAGCTACCTCAACTCAGAGCCCCAGGAAACAGTGGGGAGTGATTACTTCAAATTACTCTGAGTAGTTATTTCGAAATAGCAGCAGCAGAGTGTCCACACTAATTCTATTTCAAAATAACTATTTTGAAGTAAGCGTTATTCCCCAAGTAAAGCAGGAGTACGGATTTCAAAATAAGCAGCCAGTTACTTCAAAGTAATGGGTTTGGTAGTGTGGATGTTCCACTTATTATTTCGAAATAAGGGGGGTTATTTCAAAATAACTCCCCTAGTGTAGAGCAGGGCTGAGTTACTACACAGAATTTTTTCCTGGGTATCTGCCTGGTGGGTCTTGCCCACATGCTCAGGGTGTAAAAGAGCATCATACTGGAGGTAAGGAAGGAATTTTCTCCCTTTTTAGATTGGCAGAGACCATGGGGAATTTTTTATCCTCTTATGCAACATGGGGTCACTTTGAAGGTTTAAACTAGTCTAAATGGGGAATTCTCTGTAACTTGAATTCTTTAAACCATGATCTGTGGACTTCAGTAACTCAGCCAGAGGTTAGGAGGCTATTAGAGCGGGTGGGAAAGGTCGTGTGAGCTGCACTGTGCAGGAGATCAGACTAGATGATCATGATGGTCCCTTCTGACTGTAATAAGAGTATCTGAGTAAGAAAAGACATTGGCATTTTAAACCTCAGCTGTGTCCCATAAGTGACTAGCCGCAAGATATCAAAACATTTTTTTTATTAGAGCTGAGTGATTCTCATATACTTAATCTTCTTTCTTGATATAGGAATGGGATACAATGCTCCTGTCAGAGATTTCTAAGATTTTATTTGCAAAAGCACTAGAATTTTCAAGTGGTCTAAGTAGCCCCTGGAATCACTCTTAAAGTTGCACTCTCCACCCCAAAAATCTGAAATGGCACCCCCTGTGGGCAGGCATAGAATTTGTTTCCCCCTCACTCACACACAGCGATATTGGCCTGATTGGAACCACCCCTCTCCCAAATATAGAAGTTAGACTGTTCCTAGGGATGCTGGACATCTCAGTTCAGTTCCTATTCGGGCAAGAATCTAATTTTCTCTTTTGCTTCTAGTGCTCAGAGTTTTCATGTTCAAGCCTAGTGGCTCATTTAATAGTCAATGACACATACTGTGTATATTCCAAGGTAACTGGATTTTTGTGTCTTAGGTTCCTCTTATAAGCACTACAGTCACTTAACTATGAGATGTCAGGGCTAATGTAATTTTGGGGAATTCAAAGAACTGCCTGATTTTTAGGGCTTCATATAGACTAAGCCTATGACACTTTGGAAGGTCACAGCTATTGGCTATTGTGGCCCTGAGTCAACTGCAAAGCCTACCAATGGGTAGATAATAGTAACTCATTATTATCAGGGAGTATGGCTCCTGGAGTGAATTATGCAAGGTGTCTTTCCACTTGGAAAGGACAGTTCCTGTTATTCAGAAAATAGTTGGCAAAAGTTAAGAGGAGCTGGTTCAAATTTACAAAATGTCACTGAAATTGTAAATTTTGTGATGTGGAGGCAGGAATAGTGAAAATGTTTGTCATTTATTCCCTATTATTTTATCTGCTATAGTTCCTAATTCAGGAAAGCACTTAAGCGCATGCTTATTTTTAGCACATCTTTAAGTCTCAAATACTTACTGCTTTGCTCTCAATAGGGAGCTTAGTTTGAAGTCCCTTTCTCTTCAGTCTTTTGGGATTACTTCCGGCTACTTTAATTCTTCTAAATTCCACCCTTTTATCAGCTCCCTAGACCTTTTCTGTCTCTGTTGTTTCCTGGTAACCTGGTTGCTTTTTCAGCAGCTGTTTGCAACTCTACTTTCTATTGGGCTGCTAATTGAAGGTGGTTGTTGGGCCACAAGCTGCTGCTACGGATACCAGGGCAGACAGCAAAGAGTGGTTTAAAGTATCCCCATTTCTCCTCCAGATCCCTGTTTGTCTCTTCTGTTTTCCTCTCCAACACAAGTTCCAAGAGAAGTTGGTCTAGTCGACGATATTATCTCATCCACCTTCTCCCTCTCCAACGTTCCTTCTCGGTATTCTTGATGAACAAGCTTTGTGCTCTTTTCCGTCATTCACTTTTCCTGGACAGTGCCCTCAGTGAAGCAGGGCTGAACTAAAAATCCCCCACATTAGGAAAAGAAAACTCTCCCTAGACACTCACCAGACAGGATTTGTGATGCTTCTCTGCTGCAACCGAGAGGGATCCAGAAATGATGAACTGCCCAGGAAAGAGAAAACCATCATTCACACTTTGCACTTACGAGAAAGATTGGGTCTCTGAGACAAGCTGTAGGTGAGGGGTACAAGAGCAAAGAATAACACTTCCCCCCAGCGCTTAGAGAGCACTTCCCATCTAATAATGCTGCTGCCAGCCAGGTTCACTTCAATCTTCTCAATTAAGGTGACACCCAGGCTGTAACCCTTTCCCACAGATCCTCCTCCTCCTCTGCTCTTCTCCTTCTGAGTTCTGCTCCTTTCTGACAACTGAGCTCTTGCTCCTCTCTCCAGAAATAGAGGAACAGGGACTGGAAGGTCCTGGGAAGAGCTCAGGAGGTCACCAGTTTCCTCACCTCACCTTCCACCCAGAGCAGCTGTGCCTTCCCCTTCCTACGGAGACTGTACAGTACTCCCATCGCCATGGCATCCGAGCATCTGTGCATCTTAAAGCTGACCTGCAGAGCCCCCTGCTGTTCCAGTGCTGTCAGTCCGGCCTCCCAGCTGTGCTAACATGCCTCAGTCCAGACCTACGGAGCCCCCTGCTGTCACCTCCACACTCTGCTTTCTGTGGAGGAGCAGATGTCAATTCCTCTGGACACTTGAATAGTCCCTAGCTTGGAACCTTTGCTCTTTTTGCTGTTCTCCTCCCCCGCCCAACACACTCCGCACCCCCAATTCGGGGTAGATAAACTCTAACAAGGCCCAGTTCAGCCAGGGGAGTTGCAAAGGGATGGAGACATGAGCTTTGACTGCAGCCTTGTAAGCTAGAGGTGCTCAGACAGTGGCCTCACTAAGGCCCAGGCCTTGACATCAGCCCAGTAGGCAGAGATGCTGAGCCAATGACTTCACGGATGCCTGAGAGCCACCCTGGGTCCAGCAGAGGGGTGAAGGCAGGGACCCCACAGCAACTTGACCTGTAACATCAGCTCAACACAACAGTTTTGGTGACTAAGATGAGCAGATTTTCAAAACGAGGAGCCAGCACCCCCGACAGGTAGAACAGGTGATGTGGGGTAGCTGGGATAGTGAGAGTGGCTGGTGGCCAGTGTTCCCGGTAAGCAGTGCACTTGTGCAGCTCAGAAACCATTCAAATGCCACCCATTTGATTAGCAGAGCACCCACAGTGAGGTTTTGTGTTTCGATTGGTGGTGCACATTCACACATGCCTAGGTGCACATAAAATTTATTCTTCACATGGATGGAAACAATCCACACATGGCTGGAAAAGATTTGAGAGGACATTGCTGGTGGAAGGCACCTGTCTTTCAAGCACCCGTGGGTGGGTTTTATGAGGGAGTGAAGTGGCATGTGGGGAAGGTTTTTGGCAGCTGGGTCCAGGGCACTGCATGATGCAGGACAGCAAACTAACGATCTGCTGAGCAAGGGGAGGAAATGTCTGAGCAAATGAGATGGGCCGATGATCTACCAGCAGCAAATGTGGCAGCAGACTAAGAGTTGAGCCAGTTTGAATGGACCAATGTTCTCCCAGGTCCCCATGAAGAGACATCCACTGCAGTTTCCTGCAGTGACCATATGCTTTCTCTTCCCCTGTGTGAGTTGCTTTTGATAGCAAGGTGCTAGGTATCTGCTTACTTACTGACCACTGGCACAAAGAAAGTCTGAAGTAAATAAGGAGGAATCAGGAGAGCTGGATTATTTGCTCACTTCTGCCACAATTCATTTGCATCACCTTGGGTAACTCTAGTAGCCCCTTGCTGTCTCAGGTTTCCCATCTGTAAGATGGGGATAAGAATACCTAACTCACTAGCATTTTATGTGGCTTAGTTCACTCTTGTTTAGAGAGTTCATTAAGATCCTGAATGCATCCATCTTGCTCTCTATTTATCATATATATATCACTACAGAGCTTATAGATGGGTGTCATTAATGATAGACAATGAAAATGTATCCATGTGGCCATGCCATCATTTCATAAATGCATGTAATTATTCTACTCACGGAAAATCCTCCCCAGAAGGGGTACCCTCCAATAAAAGAGATGGGAATGTAGTATCCGATGAAAATTGCACAGACAGCACTAAAGCCAATGTGCATCAGCCCAGTCAGGATCTGGATGGCCTGTGGGAAAAGAATAGAACAGTAAGAGGAGCCAATTCCTAGCCACCTTCTGGAGAAGCAGAGCACCATGGTCTCAGAAGAGCTAATTGGAAATTGGAACGTCCATCCTGGGGGAAATTCTGATCTTTATACAGTTGGTTTAATCTGAAATCTGAAGAATTTCAGGTTGGAAATGTTGAAACATCGTTTCCAGTTTGTCAAATTGACTTTAAATGTTTCATTTAGGCTTGGTTAACACTGAGCTGAGTCCACCTGTGTGTTGCCTCATAAGAACTGTAGTTGGGGTACCCTGTACTCCATTTCTCTTCCAGATCCCTGTTTGTCTCTTCTGTTTTCCTCTCCAACACTAGTTCCAAGAGAAGTTGGTCCAGTCGACGATATTATCTCATCCACCTCCCTCTCCAATGTTCCTTCTCGGTGTTCTTGATGAACAAGCTCTGTGCTCTTTTCCATCATTCACTCTTCCTGGACAGTGCCCTCGGTAAAGCAGGGCTGAACTAAAAATCTCCCACATTAGGAAAAGAGAGGAAACTCTCCCTAGACACTCACCAGACAGGATTTGTGATGCTTCTCTGCTGCAACCGAGAGGGATCCAGAAATGATGAACTGCCCAGGAAAGAGAAAACCATCATTCACACTTTGCACTTACGAGAAAGATTGGGTCTCTGAGACAAGCTGTAGGTGAGGGGTACAAGAGCAAAGAATAACACTTCCCCCCAGCGCTTAGAGAGCACTTCCCATCTAATAATGCTGCTGCCAGCCAGGTTCACTTCAATCTTCTCAATTAAGGTGACACCCAGGCTGTAACCCTTTCCCACAGATCCTCCTCCTCCTCTGCTCTTCTCCTTCTGAGTTCTGCTCCTTTCTGACAACTGAGCTCTTGCTCCTCTCTCCAGAAATAGAGGAACAGGGACTGGAAGGTCCTGGGAAGAGCTCAGGAGGTCACCAGTTTCCTCACCTCACCTTCCACCCAGAGCAGCTGTGCCTTCCCCTTCCTACGGAGACTGTACAGTACTCCCATCGCCATGGCATCCGAGCATCTGTGCATCTTAAAGCTGACCTGCAGAGCCCCCTGCTGTTCCAGTGCTGTCAGTCCGGCCTCCCAGCTGTGCTAACATGCCTCAGTCCAGACCTACGGAGCCCCCTGCTGTCACCTCCACACTCTGCTTTCTGTGGAGGAGCAGATGTCAATTCCTCTGGACACTTGAATAGTCCCTAGCTTGGAACCTTTGCTCTTTTTGCTGTTCTCCTCCCCCGCCCAACACACTCCGCACCCCCAATTCGGGGTAGATAAACTCTAACAAGGCCCAGTTCAGCCAGGGGAGTTGCAAAGGGATGGAGACATGAGCTTTGACTGCAGCCTTGTAAGCTAGAGGTGCTCAGACAGTGGCCTCACGAAGGCCCAGGCCTTGACATCAGCCCAGTAGGCAGAGATGCTGAGCCAATGACTTCACGGATGCCTGAGAGCCACCCTGGGTCCAGCAGAGGGGTGAAGGCAGGGACCCCACAGCAACTTGACCTGTAACATCAGCTCAACACAACAGTTTTGGTGACTAAGATGAGCAGATTTTCAAAACGAGGAGCCAGCACCCCCGACAGGTAGAACAGGTGATGTGGGGTAGCTGGGATAGTGAGAGTGGCTGGTGGCCAGTGTTCCCGGTAAGCAGTGCACTTGTGCAGCTCAGAAACCATTCAAATGCCACCCATTTGATTAGCAGAGCACCCACAGTGAGGTTTTGTGTTTCGATTGGTGGTGCACATTCACACATGCCTAGGTGCACATAAAATTTATTCTTCACATGGATGGAAACAATCCACACATGGCTGGAAAAGATTTGAGAGGACATTGCTGGTGGAAGGCACCTGTCTGTCAAGCACCCGGGGGTGGGTTTTATAGGGGAGTGAAGTGGCATGTGGGGAAGGTTTTTGGCAGCTGGGTCCAGGGCACTGCATGATGCAGGACAGCAAACTAATGATCTGCTGAGCAAGGGGAGGAAATGTCTGAGCAAATGAGATGGGCCGATGATCTACCAGCAGCAAATGTGGCAGCAGACTAAGAGTTGAGCCAGTTTGAATGGACCAATGTTCTCCCAGGTCCCCATGAAGAGACATCCACTGCAGTTTCCTGCAGTGACCATATGCTTTCTCTTCCCCTGTGTGAGTTGCTTTTGATAGCAAGGTGCTAGGTATCTGCTTACTTACTGACCACTGGCACAAAGAAAGTCTGAAGTAAATAAGGAGGAATCAGGAGAGCTGGATTATTTGCTCACTTCTGCCACAATTCATTTGCATCACCTTGGGTGACTCTAGTAGCCCCTTGCTGCCTCAGGTTTCCCCATCTGTAAGATGGGGATAAGAATACCTAACTCACTAGCATTTTATGTGGTTTAGTTCACTCTTGTTTAGAGAGTTCATTAAGATCCTGAATGCATCCATCTTGCTCTCTATTTATCATATATATATCACTACAGAGCTTATAGATGGGTGTCATTAATGATAGACAATGAAAATGTATCCATATGGCCATGCCATCATTTCATAAATGCATGTAATTATTCTACTCACGGAAAATCCTCCCCAGAAGGGGTACCCTCCAATAAAAGAGATGGGAATGTAGTATCCGATGAAAATTGCACAGACAGCACTAAAGCCAATGTGCATCAGCCCAGTCAGGATCTGGATGGCCTGTGGGAAAAGAATAGAACAGTAAGAGGAGCCAATTCCTAGCCACCTTCTGGAGAAGCAGAGCACCATGGTCTCAGAAGAGCTAATTGGAAATTGGAACGTCCATCCTGGGGGAAATTCTGATCTTTATACAGTTGGTTTAATCTGAAATCTGAAGAATTTCAGGTTGGAAATGTTGAAACATCGTTTCCAGTTTGTCAAATTGACTTTAAATGTTTCATTTAGGCTTGGTTAACACTGAGCTGAGTCCACCTGTGTGTTGCCTCATAAGAACTGTAGTTGGGGTACCCTGTACTCCCATAGAATCATAGAGTTGGGAGAGACCTCAGGAGGTCATTGCATCCAGACCCCGGCTAAAAGCAGGACCAATCCCAACTAAGTCAGCCCAGCCAGGGCTTTGTAAAGCTGGGACTTAAAAACCTCTAGGGATGGAGGTTCCACCACCTTCCTAGGTGACCCATTGCAGTACTTTAACACCCTGCTAGTAAAATAGTTTTTCCTAATATCCAACCTGGACCTCCCACTCTGTAACTTGAGATCATTGCTCCTTGTTCTATCATCTGTCACCACTGAGAACAGCCTCTCTCCATCCTCTTTGGAATCCCCCCTTCAGGTAGTTGAAGGCTGCTATCAAATCCCCCCTCACTCTTCTCTTCTGTAGACTAAATAAGCCCAAATCCCTCAGCCTCTCCTCGTAGGTCATGTGCCCATTCTCTCCTATGGGCTAGACTGCCTGGCTAGACTACATTTCCCATGTGAAATCATGGGACTTCTACACTGGTTCAATGAAAGAGAAGAGAACGGTACATCTTGGAAGATGTAGTTTGGAACAAGGACTCAGGCCAGCTGGAAATAATGAGTCTATCACTTGAACTACAGCTCTCTTGAGGCTGTGTAGCTGCTCAGGTGAATGCAATTTGATGCCAAACTGACTTGAAACATTTCAGCTCAGCTTGACAAACTGAAGACAATGACTTTGGAAGTCTGAAACCAAAACAAAGTGTTGTGTTTTGATTTTTCCCAATGGAAAACTTTGATTTTGTGAAAGCTACATTTTTCTATTGAAAAAAAAAAGTGATTCCTTTCTAATAACCCCCTCAGCAATGTCGGGAATCACCACCAAAGAATGAATCAGAGAATCAAATCTGCCTCCGTTCGAAAGCTTGTGTCCCTCACCAACAAAAGTTATCACCTCACCCACTTTATCCTTCTAATATCCTGAGACAAACAACACTGCATATAATAATGGAAAATAATGACTTTTGCTGTGTGAAGTACAAACATCACAAAATGAAGAAAAAGGAAGCAAAACTTCTACTTCCTGAGCAAATGCAAGACAGAAAACATCCCCAGACATCTCACCATCATAACCCTCTGGCCGCTAGATATAATTCCAAATAGGCTGAACAGTGCTGCAGACGGACTTCAGAAAAACTAAAGAATCATTTATTGCAGCACCTCTTATGTTCCAGAAGGAACTAGCTCAAACAGGAAATCTCTGCCTCCTCCTACACACTGAAAGAACCCCTTCACTTCCCCCCAGGAAAGTTACTTGGAAATCATGCAAGAAATCCAAAACAACTGTCAAAGAAATCTGATGACAGGCATCCAACACAAAAATAATAAGTGGAACCAACTACAACTAATCCATAACCCCAAGAACCTCATCTCCGGGAGAAACTAATGCACCTGTACCCACAACATTGATACCAGCTAAACATAATTTCACCAAGACAATCCCTATATGCATCTGAATTATTTATACTCTAAAGGACGGCACTTCTGCCTTACAACAGAACCTGTTAGAGAATTAGAAGAATTATTCCACCGTCTCTACCTCAAGGAATTGACAATACCATTTGTAATTACCACTTCTTCACTGACAATCAGAAAAAAGAAACCTGACTGGATACCACAGAGCAAACAAAATAATACTTAAGTACACTGATAATTTTTTCAAAGCAGACTGAAATACTTAACAGTCACCACATCCACCACAATCTCTCCACTGCTAAGAGGACAACCATTTAGTCCCTGAAATTTAACCATCAGAACAATCAATCCAGAAGATAAAAGGGTTGCCATTGTAATGCTGAACCATGATAACTATGTTAACAAGATCAATGGAAAACTGTCTGACACCACCTACTATAAAGAGTGCAGAGATGACCCCCACACCACAATTTACCCAGGAATTTAAGGATATACTCAAGTCCTTCCCCAAACAGCCCCAAAAGAAACTGTACAAACTCATCCCACATGATGTCACCTGAGGAACCTTCTACATGCTTCCCAAGATACACAAACAAACAAGGGATCCAAAGCAGACATGTCATATCTGGGCACAGCACTCTTACCACACAAAAGGATAGCTTCCTTCAGGACCGAAGAGATTTCCTCCACAAACTCCACCACAACAAAGTTCCTCAGAATGCCATCCATGACACTCCTGATACACCAACATCCCTACAATGACACCAAAACTGCCCGCCTTAAATATTTACAAGACAATTGACAACTCTCAGCTACCTATCCCAAACACATTGCCAAATTCATGCTTTTCATCCTCACACATGGGCATCCAGTAACCTAGGCAGGGGAAGGCTTTGACTTCCCAAACCACCAGGCATGGCCCCGCCCACACTCCGCCCCCAGAATGCCCTAGCATCCACCCTCCCTGTGCACCAGAGCTGGAGAGGCTGGAGCCATGCGACCTCCTCCATCCCCAGTGCTCTGGGACGGGGAAGCTTGGGCCGCATGGCTTCCTCCCTCCCTGGTGCTTGGAGTGGGGAGGCCTGTGTGCGCCTCCTTCCCTCTCTTCCTGTGGTGGGGGGTGGGGCCTCTGCAGAAGGGGCAGGGCTGTAGGTGGAGCTGGGGGCCTGCTTCCCCCAGCCCTAGCTGCACCAACCGTCCATGTCCTCACATGTAATATTTTTACATTTAACAACAGTTTGTTCAAGCCTCGGGTATTAGGATGGCTCTCCACTGTGCCAACCTTTTCATGGACCACCTAGAAGGAGAATGGACAAATGCATCATAAACCCAACAACGTATCAGAGATGCATCAATGATATTTTCATCCTCTGAACAGATGACTTGAACTCCCTCATAGGTTTCCACCACAACTTCATCAACCTCCACCTGTCTGTTAAATTCTCTCAGGAACACTCCCACACCAGCATCAACTTCCTGGACACCACAATCAGCTTCAACAATGGAATCCTGAAGACCGCTACACACAAAAAAACCTATGGATGACCACACCCACCTTCACAGAGCCGGTAAAAACTCTGCACAAATTCCCTGCTTGGAAACGAAACTCTACTGAAAAGGAGAGGTCTATGGCTATACACCAACAGAAATTTTGGACCTTTTGAGCCATATGACCTCAAACTTCACCGGACAATCCAAATAAGCACCTTTTCAGGACTCGGGATCTTAACAAAACAAAAAAATATTAAGGCTTCACCAGATCACAATTTATAAATATCTCTGTGGGGAAATAAAATGTAACAATAGGCTCTTCAATCTAGCAGACAACGCTCTAGCAACTCCAATTACTGGAAGGAGAAGGTAAACATGTTTGGACTGGAAATAAGGTGTAAATGTTGAACAGTGAATGTAACTATCTATTGGAACAACTTACCGTGGGGTTATAGGAAATAACTCAGGGCAGTTCTCTGGTCTGTGATACATACGTAGCTAAAATAAATCATTCCAGTGGTCCCCATGGGCCTTAAAATCTATTAATCTATGAACACTTTTGCCTATTTGTTTACATAATTGCAAATAAATGAAGAACCACTGGCTTGTCCCTCTAAACTGACGGATAGAAGTTGTTACTTTCACTAGTAGTTTGAGGCTGAATGGAATCAACGTTGCACAACAGTAACTTCAAGAAGGAGCCTTGGTTTGAGCTGCTCCTTCTTAGACCAGATCCTCAGCCATTGCGAATTACCACACTAAAGCTACACTGAGTTTCACCACCTTCCTCCCTCAGATGGCCCCTGCCACCTTGGGGCTGTTTCATTCATACAGTCACTGAAAAAGCTGGTTTATAATCCTTTTCCCCCAGTGTTCCTCTTTGTTTCATTAATCTTCATTTCTCCCTCTTTGGGCAAGTAGGAGGATTCATTGGAACTGTGGGTGTATTTTTCTACCACTGCCCCCAAAAGCAATGAAGTCTTAAGAAGAGGTCAGATCTATCCTGGGTTCCGGAGGTGCCAAGTCACCTAATGGTACCAGCTTCCTGGCATCCTTCCCATAAAGCTGTTGGTCAAAGGAAAAAGGAAAAGGTGGTGTTTGGAGTTTACTCCTGCTCAGACATTCACCCACCTGTGTAGGGCCTTAGGTATCGAAATGACTCACCCTTATGCACTGAGAGCAAAGACAACACTTACCCCCAGGGTCTTGGGCTGTGCTTTGAGGAATCTCTCCATCATCCCCACTTTCCTCAGATGCGCAACCTGGTCACCTGCACTCCCGGAATATGTTGACCCAAGAGGTTGGTTCCCAGGGTCCATGACTCTGAACTGCTGAGGCCCGTATTGCACCATCTGAGAAGTCTGGGAAATGGCTCCAGAGACCCCCTGGCCTTGTTGGAGGATACCAGTGTTGTTTGGGGGTATGAACACAAGCACCCCATTGGCCATGCTTCCTGGTGCTGCCATGATGGCGAAGATGCTGCAGAAAAGAGCGATTAGCCCAGATTAAGCCTCGCGTAATATCACTAGTTCCAAAATTAGCCGAGTTAGAATCCTTATTACCTGTGGCTCAACCCTGAGTCTCTGCCATGATTTTATCCTTTTCATGGAGCTATAATGGGAGCTCTAGCAACACCTAAAGCTAAGGGCTGAGATTTCTAAAGCTGAGTGAAGGATTCAGCCACACAACTCCCCTTAATTTCAAGCTTCTCATTGGCTTTTAAAATCTCAACTAAAGAGCTCTAGGGTCTCCATTCCTCCTCTCCTTTTCCAGGTGCTTTTAACTTTTAGTATCTTTCACTTTCTGGGATGGAAATTTCCTGAACTGTGTAATTAATTATCTCAGGAGTGATGGAGGGTGAAGTTAACTCAGGTTCTTTTGCACAAAATCCCTGCTCCTGCACCCATGGAAGAGATGGAAACATTCCCATTAACTTCAGAGGGGCTTGGCATCAGATCCAAAAGCATTTATAAAAGAGCTGGACAAAAACTTTCCACGCAAACTGGTTTTTGATGGAAAACTGGGTTTTCCCGTAAATGGATATTCATGAAAGCACTCAATCAGACATATAGTAATTCAGCTATGCTGCCGTGGTGCCTCATGGGATTTGTAGCTCAGCTGCCATGTATGCCAATTCTCCTCTGTGAGCTCAGAGATCCTTGGGTGTACTATATCTCCCATCAGGCTCAAGGGCTGGAAACTCCCATGATGCACTGCCTCCATTTCCAAGAGGAAGGACCACAGTGCGCCATAAGACATGTAGTCTGACCAGGTGTCCTGTCCTACAGAGAAAAAGGGGGCAATGAGGCACAGGAATGATGATTTCTATGAGTCAACATTTCCAAATCAAAGTATTTGCCATTAGATTTCCCCTGAAAATTGAATTTTTCTGTGGAAAAAACCGGAATGTGTCATCTGGTTCTAGTTAACAACACAGAAGCTAATTGAAAACCATTTCCCAACACTCATGCCTGTCCCATTTTGTGAGACATATATGGGTCCTGGCACATGGCAATGTACAGCACTAACCTCATAGGGTATGTGTACACCGCAGCATTATTTTGGAATAACAGACGTTATTTTGAAATAACCAAGTGTGTGTCTATACAGCAAGCTTTTATTTTGAATTAATTGCAAGATGGCGGACTTCTTACTCCAACTTGTGTAACCCTCATTTCACGAGGAGTAAGGGAAGTCGAAGGAAGCGTGTTCTTCCTTCGACTTCTTGCTGTGTAGACAGCGCCAAAAGCTGAATTAAGCTATTTCAACTTCAGCTACGCAATTGACGTAGCTGATGTTGCAAATCTTAATTCGACTTTTGCCCTGCAGTGTAGATGTGCCTATGGGGACCTGTGCTTACAACTCTCTGAGATAATTTTTAAGTGTTAATAAGCAATGGCGAGCCGGTTACAGTGACGATCTGTAAGTGGGGAGACTAGGTCCTTTGGCAGACCAAGACAAAACAAGATCCAGTGTTGGAAGCATGAATTTAGGTTACTGCAAGCAGGAATATAGAGGCTTGATGCAGGGGAAGTTAGAATAATAGAATCATAGAATGATAAAATCCTAGGGCTGGAAGAGACCTCAGGAGGTCATCAAGTCCAACCTCATGCCCAAAGCAGGACCGAGTTTTATGGGGAAGTTCTATGACCTCTGTTACAAACGAGGTCAGACTAGATTACCATTATGGCCTTGAAAGCTTTCAATCTTCATGCTGGTCTAACCTACATGGGTGGTAAGGTGGAAGGAAAGGCTAAAGGACCATGGGATGTTGTGGGAGTGGGATGGTGGCACGGTGTCTACGTTCTCAAAGCAGCTGGAGACACTGACCTTTGGCAGCACCAAGAGCTCACCCAAAAATCGACAAATCCTGTTATTAGTCAGGAAAAATAAGATGTTTATCTACACCATTCAGGCTCCTGCACCCTGTCTCTTTTACTCACTGGCTAGTGCCACATAGAGGAGATCAGCTGGGGTATGAAAATCCTTGGTTTGATGCAAGCATGTTGTGTTGCTACTCCATCCCTCCCTATGGACATTTACTAGGGGTGGCAGGTGCCACCTACTCTCTGTCACAATTAGCATGCTGCTTTGAGACACAGATTTCCCCCCATCCACTCTCCTCCATCTATCAGGTAATTGTATCTGCTTTTCCTTGAATTCTAACCTCGTTTTCCCAGAAAAGTGCTGTAAGGGTCTCAAGGCATCCCCAGGGACACCTTCCCCTGTATGGCCACCAACTCCCAATTTTAATGGTCACCCAAGGAAAGGGCTTGCAGATGCACTTACTCTGTTATCGCAGCTGCTCTTCTCCGTCCAGCTGGGGAGACACCAAGCCTCACCAGGAAATTCTCACTGGCTTCTGCAAATGTGGTTTTATTAGCATCAGACTTTGGATCCTTCCCTGTCAGTCACAATCAGCCCCTCCTCCTTCTCTGTCCTGTTTTATTGCAGGACTCCGAAGTCCTGCTCCTCTCCCTAATCCTCCCTAACAGGCTTTCTCCCCCATCTAATCACCATCCTGTCCAGCTCAGAAGACATGGGACTCCCCATAAGAGCACATCACCACTGCCCTTTGGCCACCAGGGGCACTGTTAAGAGCCCCTACACTTGTCATCACCTATAGCCCCCAACTTAAATCCGTCCAACACATTATCAGTAAAGAACAACCTATACTGGAACAGGATACCACCCTCCGAGAGGCTCTGGGAGACAGACCCATAGTCTCCTATAGACAACCACCTAACCTCAGGATGATTCTTACCAACAACCATAGGTCATACCACACTAATACCAACCCTGGAACTTTCCCTTGCAACAAACCCCGGTGCCAGCTTTGTCCATATATTTACTCTGCTGACACCATTATTGGATCTAACCATGCCAGTTACAAGATCAAGAACACATATTCCTGTTCATCCAGAAATATAATTTATGCCATCATGTGCCTAAAGTGTCCGTCTGCTATGTACATTGGACAAACTTCTCAGACACTTCGCCAAAGAATCAATGCACATAAAAAAGACATCAGGCTCTTTCACAGAGAGAAAACTGTTGCTTGCCATTTTAACCATACTGACCATTCTCTCAATGACCTTAAAACATGGATATTGCTTCAAAGAGATTTTAATTCCAGACTTCAAAGAGAAGCCTCAGAACTGTCATTCATGCTTAAATTTGACACTTTACGTACGGGCCTTAACAAAGATGCTAATTATCTCACCCATTACAATTATCACCCCTAATATCATTACCTCACAGACACTAACCTTCCTCCCCTCACTCCCCCTCTGTTCTAAAATCTGATTTGTCAGTTTTATATGTGATCACTTTTTTGTGATTGTATCACTTTGGTATATATGGTCATGCAATTTTCTTCTGAGGAAGTGAGTCTGGCCCACGAAAGCTCAGCACCTAATAAACCTCTTGTTAGTCTTTAAAGTGCTGCATAGTCTTGTCTTTTGTTCCTTCCCTTTCCTGTTTGCCTAGCGTGAACTGCCACAAAAATAACAAGGGTGGGTTGGATATTTTCTGATCAGAACTTTTCACCAGTGGAAATTTTGTTTTTTGACTACACAACTGTTGCCAATTAATGCCAGCTTTCCTCAACATTCGTTAATATTTCATCAGAAAATTGAATAGCTAGGGGGGAAAAATGCCTGAAAGCTGAAATTTACAATGTTTTAAAAGATCACTGGGAATTTTCCACCAAAATTTTGATGTAAATGATTTTTTAAGTGACATTTTCTGTGGCATAAAAAAAAGCCCATTTTCTAAACAGCTCTAATCAGTGCAGTCAGTGCTTAGTGCTTTCCATCTCCAAGGTATTCGCTCAGTCTCTTTTCCTTTCTATTGCATCCCCTGGTGCAACATCTAAGCATCTTACATAATAAGGCCTTGGCAACACTACTGTTTATGTTGATGTTAATTCTTTTGCTCAGGGGAGTGAGAAAACCAACCACTGAGTTGTATCAGTTCCCTTGACTTAATGCAGCCAACCTAGCATCTGCCTCTTACTGAGGTGGAGCAATTCTGCTCTCCTATTGACATTATACGTCTTTGCTAGACACACTAAATAGATGCCGCAGCATTTTCAGTTCTGAAAAGAAGCTGCTTGGATCTTCTGCATTTATAAGAGAGCTTGTGAAGCTCTGGGATCTCAAAATGCCAGCTGTCTCTAGTTACGGAGCAGCTGAGTGGGAAACAACTGACGAGCCACTGCCACCCACAAGAATTTGCCAGATGCAGGACAAGATGATCTCCATGGGGCAGGTCTTGAAGGTAAACCCTGACCCATGGTCCAGCTATATTGGGCAAATTGCATCGCTTATTTTGAGCTACGGGTGCAGAGTAGCAGCAAAGGCACACAGTGTTGCCTCAGAATCTGGGTGACTATATTGGGCAAATTGCATCGCTTATTTTGAGCTACGGGTGCAGAGTAGACGCACCGTAAGTGTCTAATAGACTAAACATTAAACTACAAAATGTTGTTCACCCAGATTCTGAGGCAACACTGTGTGCCTTTGCTGCTGTGAAATGTGCCATTTCCTGTGACAGGGTGAGATTGTGAGCCACAGCATTCTCCATAGACTGGGGGTGGCAATGAAGTCCCATGACATTAAGGGACAAGGCATATCCTTGGGGCACATGAAGGAACCTGTTCAGTCCTTTGCTCCCCTGGCTGCTATTGTCTCTGCCCCTTCCCAAGGGAATTGTCCTTATCAGTGCTTCTTGGCCAAGCCCTTTCTTTCAAAGCTGCATGGAGAAGGGATTATTTTAGGTTAAATATTTACCCTGAGACATGAGGCACAGATGGAACCGTGGATGAAAAGTTATAAAACACACAGTTATAAAAAAAGTGCAGTCTATCAAGCCTATTTATAAGCCATAACAGCAGGGTGAAGCATTGCAGGGGAAGGGACGAGGGGAGAAGGGAGAGCTTTTATTTCCATTAGAGTTCTCTCTCAGTTTAAAGGGCCTGCTTGAAACTGTAAGTCACAGCAATCATGCATTATCCTCAGCTCCTCACACTAGCAGTAGGAACCCCCATGATGAGCACAAAGAAGATTTGCAGGCTAAGCAATTAAGTTGGAAGCAAAGACAATTTCCTTATTCTTAATCTTGATGCCGTCTAGACAGGACACAGCACAGGACATGGCCCCTGCCCCAGGGCGTTTCAGCGTACTGTGAAGTACAACATGTAGTGAAAACAGAAAGGGTTCCTGCTTGAAGATGTGGTTCCAGAAGCAGGAGTTGAAAGAAACATAACTGTGTTTCAGCCAGCCAGGAAGACACCACCCACTGCGACCCCATTTCCCACTCTGGCTGGGAAGGGGCACAGGGAAGAGCCAACCTCAGTAGCACTCACTTACATCCTGTCCCCTCCACCCACCTGCCTCACTTTGGGGCAACAGAGGCAGCCCCCTGGCACCACAATGAAGCTTCTGAGCCAGGGAAGCAGGGAGAACAGGACCTTCAGCTTCTGATGGGGGGGGGGGGGCAATTTAAAGGTCCCCCCAACAACTCAAGTATCATATCCTCCCTCTTCCCCAAGGCTGTAGCCCAGCCCCTCCTCCTTGTTCATAGTTCCCCTATGGGGAAAACAGCTGTTCCCTCTCCCCTACTATTCCCCGCTATTTGATGCATGTGCTACGTATTTACCTCTCCTTCTTGGTCCCAGGCTGCCTCCAGCAAGCAGGGGAGGGAAGGGGGAGAGAGCTGGGCAGGCAGACGCTGGCAGGAAACTGGGCATGGGGCACAGTGTGACCCAGTTCAGTGCATGTTGCCCCCCACCCTGATGTGTCACTGCTTTGCAGGGATGGCATCGCAGGCAGGCTGCAAGACAGTCTTGGGTTAGCCTGGAACTCACTTAGCAGAGTGAAAGGTGTGCACAGTGCACCAGACCTGCCGGCAGAGCCAGGGGAAAGCCCTTTCCTGGACAAGTGGCTCTTAGGGGGGAAGAGGAAGAAAAGGGAGTGTGGACCCAGATCTGTTCTAGGCTAACACACAGCCAGATAGCAGAGCTGCTCCAAACCCCAGCCAGCCACAATACAGAGAGAAGCTGCCCTTATACACACACCTCTTCAATCCCCACCAAACTCAGCCACCCATCCCGAGTCTCTTCCAGCACAGCCTGTCCCACGCACTCCCCACATGGCTGCTATATGGGTCCTTCTGTCCTAGAAGTGAGGGGGAAACCCTCTGGGCACCCACCCCTGCTGCTTCCCCCACCAGACCAGAGAAGTTACCTGAAATAAAGGTGTGAGAGCCTCTGTCCTCCCTGACCTTGGTTGAACTGGCTGCTGGGTTTCCCCGCCTACCCAGCTAGCTGGTCCCAGGTAAGGTCACTGTGGGAGGCAGCTCTGGTCGCGCAGGTCAAAGGCCGGCAGTGCTCTCTCCCCTGCCTGAGCAACCCTGTATCTACTGGTCTCGAGGGACTTATTCCTCCTCCCTGCCTGAGCAACCCTGTATCTACTGGTCTCGGGGGACTTATTCCTCCTTGCCTTTGTAACATAGCAACCTGTGAGGACAAAGGCAGACCATGATGAAATCTGCAGCAATCACCTTCTGAACTTCCTTCCCCACCCACCACTCCCTCAGCCTGCATGTTTGTTTGTTTTGTTTCATTGACTTTTTAAAAAGTGCTGCAGAAGCTTCCAGCCTGGATGGGGAGGGGGATGAGGGGAGTGGTGGGAGGGGTGGGGTGGGGTGGAGAGGAAGAGCAACCCGGGTACCTCAGGAACTCTGATTTCTGTCAGAGGGCAAGCAGCACTTTGCATGGGCTGGGACTTTTGTTCTGCTTGATCGCACCTGCATTCCCTTCAGTGAGGGAAGAGGAGGAGAGCAAACAAGGAAAGCTGCCTGCATTGCTCCCACTCCTGACTAGAGGGCAGGCAGGAGACAGTGTCCTGCTATGGTAGGAAAACTTAAATAAAAATGAATGGTCCTGAAGCACCTTAGGGTACCTCTGCACTGCTAGTTTATTTCAGAAAAAGCTATTCTGGAAGAGATCTTCTGGAATAGCTTATTTCAAAATAGAGCGTTCACACTACAAGGAAGCCTCAAAATTAGTCCGAGTCAGGCTCCCCTAATGTGGACACGCTACCTCGATTTAGAGCCCCAGAAGGCACTGGGGAGGAATTATGTAGAATGGCCCTGGTGAGGACCTATTTTGACATAGCAGCAGTGGAGTGTTCACACACACCCTTGTCTGAAAGAGCTTTTTCAGAAGAGGCATTATTCCTCATGGAATGAGGTTTACCAACGCTGGAAAAAGCTGTCCATTATTTTGATTTTCTTTCAAAATAATGCAATTGCTGTGGATGCGTGTATTGATTTTCCAGAATACCAGCCATTATTCTGGAATAACGGTACAGTGTAGACACACCCTTAGGGTATGACTAAACTACAAAGTTAGTTCGAACTAATGGACATTAGTTCGAATTAACTTTGATAGGTGCTACACTAGCGCTCCGTTAGTTCGAATTTAATTCGAACTAACGGAGCGCTTAGTTCGAACTAGGTAATCCTCATTCCACGAGGATTAAGCCTAGTTCGAACTTACTAGTTCGAATTAAGGGCTGTGTAGACCCTTAATTCGAACTAGTGGGAGGCTAGCCCTCTCCAGCTTTCCCTGGTGGCCACTCTG